TCACCGTCTTCCAACCCCAACCGCCCCTACCTTTCCCCCACCCAATCCCTTTCAACCTCTGTAAGACAAAATAAACCCTTGTGAAGAGGTTCATATCATAGAGATTCTGATCCCTACTATGCTAGATTTTTAAATCTGAAAGAACTAAAGAAAAGAGTGTTTGCCCTCTGTGTCAATCTGTCATTCTCAGGAGAATGCTCTGTCCTGAGGATGGATTGATACTGTACAATATGATGGGAGCAAACACTCATCAAGGGCTCTTTCTTAACCAACATTTCATCTGGAACAAAGATAGCTATCCACAAGTTATCTTCATATTTAGAAAGAAACCAACCAAACCACCCCTCTCCCCATAAGAAATCAAACTGGCTCATTCTTGTTCACATCTCCAAAAGTGTTTACTCGCGCCTTATAATTAGTCGCCTTGAGTTGAAGCAAGCAACCCCCTTGTTGGTTGGTTGAAAAGAACCATATTGGTCATCAGTGCTCATTTTGTTGGTAGAGATGTAGAGAAGTGCAGTTCCTGCCAAAGGAGCCTGCGTTTCCAGGAAAATTACATCCTCTCTGGGCACAGCACTTGTGAAATAATCTGTCTTTGATTCTGCAGAGAATACTCCATGTCCAGCGGGTTGGTTCAGCTGCCAGACCAACTACCGATGCATCCCGGAGTATGCTCGTTGCAACACCTACGATGAATGCCGCGACAACTCTGATGAAGTTGGCTGCGGTATGGTTCTTTGATGTAAAAAAACACAAGTCCTAAACATTCTGCAGGCTTCAGTCAAACAGTGAAAAGTTTTCATTGGTGCCATAAGGATATCGTATACCAGTGTGGTTGTCAGTGTGGATAAAATAAGCATTGTTAAGCCAAGAGTGTCGTTATTAAAGCCACGAAAGTTATAAATTCTGGCAGTTGGCATTTTATGTTTAAAATGGTCAATATTTGCCTACACCACTTTTTGAGACAAACTGTGCATTGTGTGAAGTTGGCATGCATAGACATAGTGTGTCATCATCATGTGGATGTGATATGAGTTTACGTCTCTGGTCTGCTGTAGGGACCGACTTTCAACCCGACAAAGTATAGACCTTTGATGGAGTGCCCGACTTTGACCCCTGACTACGCCCAATTTCGACCTATATAGTGTTTTGCTTTCCAGAGGCCGTAACCTGTGACCCTCTTGGGGAATATCGATGTGACAATCATCGCTGCATCCCCCAGCGGTGGGTCTGCGATTTGGACAACGACTGCGGGGACTTCTCCGATGAGCGACCGGGATGCAGTAAGTGCGAAGAGTCTCATCACTCCTTGTACCTATGTGGAGATGACAATTTGACACGTTTTCACACCGTCAAAAATGGCCGGCTGACCCTTGACCAGCTTGTGGCAGTGCTGTGGTTTAAGTCCATCACAGGTCCCTCCAAATTCATCACACAATGGTCCAAAATCTTCGGATTGGTATTCCTTCCTTTGTCATTATCCATCTTGCTACTACTTGCGACTAAATTGGCTCGCGACTGGACTTGTGATGGACCCTACTACAGTTCTGCTCTGTGATTAAGATGTTAAGATGTCTGCACTAGCAAACAAGAGAGTATGGGTTCTAATCCTACCTGATTAAGCTCACTGAATTGTTTTCCCGTCACCTTTTGGAAAGTACCGCATATACAATGCTTAACGAATTACACTTCCAAAGGGCAAATGAGACACCTGTGCTGAAATCCCTGTCATACAGAATTCTATCATCAGCGATCAAAAAGAACCCTTGACCTTCTATGACCTGTGTTTAAAGTGTCTGATTCTCTAAAATGTGCCTGTCTTACGGTTCGACCAACAGCGCCTCGTCTGTGCAGTGAGAGTGAGTTCCGATGCGTCTCTAGAGGGCTCTGTATCCGTGACCGTTGGGTCTGCGATGGCAACCCTGACTGCAGTGACGGCTCCGACGAATCATCCTGTAGGCTTAAATTTTGTTGGGTCTAAATTTAAAGCAGGATATGCCTTAAAAACGATAAATGAATTCAGTGTTTGATTGGCCAAAACTGTGTCAATCCCAATGTTGCAGTGTAATTCAAAATAATGGTGCTCAACGATGCGTGACCGTAGATAAGAGATCAATGTGTCTTTGTAAGCTGCTGATGTTCTTTGAGATGACACCAAGCTTTTTTGCTTGTAAGCATCGATTTTGGACATATATACCTCTCTGAAGTGGGATGTACTTGTTTCAGAAATACAGTTGGTCATAGTTATCCCTTTGCCGTACGTAAAACCTTTGTTGAAATGCATGATTGACATTATATCAGTAGCATACTGGTTGGACCACATCCACATTGGCTCACGAGAGCACTCTACAATGCCTTCTGCTTGGATCTTTAGTTTTTGGTATGCTTGAAAATGCTATGAAGGTGTCATTTTTTGTCCTTATTTGATCTTACAGGTGGTGCTATCATCTGTCGGCCTGACCAATTCAAGTGCACTGTGGGAGGTTGCATTGCAGCTAATCTGACCTGTAATGGCTTGTACGACTGTGGTGATCGCTCTGACGAACTCAGCTGTGGTAAGACACTTGGAAGAATTTAATGAAATAATGGGAGATCTCCAAGATTTACACAGTTGTTACATCATCGTTTATCTGGATGGTCATTTCATTTCCTTCTTTTCCTTTTGGTTATTTCTTTAGATTGCACCACGGATCAGTTCCGGTGTGACAACACGTTGTGCTTGCCAAACTCTCAATTATGTGACACCTATGACGATTGTGGAGACGGCAGTGATGAGACCCCACATGCCTGTCGTAAGTTGCGTCTCTGTTTGTGATTCTGCTATTTCTTGAAGCCTTGGGCAAGTCCATGGGTAAACTGTCATTTGACCACTGGTCAGCTGCTTCTCACCAAGATGCGTGGGCTGTACAGTCACTCTCAAATAATCCTAGCAAAACCATTTTCACAAAATTTCACCTTCACTCCCAAGAGCCTGGTTTTGAATGTTCCAAACATCTGTCATTTCAGTGACATGCCCAATAATTTTCTCTTTATGACAATATGGGCATTTCACAATAGTGCGCCTCGAAGAGTTTGCGATGCGTTGACCAATCACAGTGCGCGAAATCTTTGACCCAATGCGCGTTTAGAAAGGGTCGACAGATTTTGCACATTGTGATTGGCTAACGCGTTGCAGACTCTTGGAGGCGTACTATTGTGAATTGCCCGTATTGGTTCTGCACGTTGCTTTGGGTAGTATTTTATATTATTCCATATTAAAATGCAAAAGAACTATTTTGCTGTATGAACTCTATGAGTATATTTGAAGTGATACTTTAAAAATAATTGAAGTTAACTGTTATACATCTGTCCAAATAAATTTAATACAGATAAGTGTATCATAACCACATGCAAACTAATTGACTTTTTAATTTGTCTGATAAAATCCAACAAAGGTTACATAGGTGAGTTTAACTTCGGGCAGTGCTGTTGTAATGTTTTGTTGTATTGTAATGTTGTCGTTGACTATTATTGACATGTACACTGGAGAGGTCTTTTCATTTTGTTCAAAATGGCGTAGCCACCGTGATTGAGTGGATTTGTTTGTTGTCCCATGTGAAGCCTGTTGTTGATAGCACTGCTGTTAGCTTGATATTATTTTGTCTTGATTGAAGTCCATGCTCTTGATCAGTGATTTCTCACAATTTCATTGCCACCTTCTAGCTGATACCGTGACAGGTCAGTGGTTGCATGTGTTTGTCCTCTTCTCTAAACAAGGCCAAGACGAATGTGCGTTGCAACCAAATGGGGGAAATGCTATTGGTGTCTTTCAAATTGTTCCTTGGTACAGAATTCGTGCTTTGTTTCAATACTTTTGATGTGACCTTTATCCATCATCAGGAAGTACGAAAGCCACTTGCAAACCCGTTGCTGCTTAGCAATTTAAATCTGTTGGGCAACGTAGATTTATACCACTATTGTCTGAGGTTCCAGTCCCAGCAAGGGCATGACCCATGAGGTCTTTTCACACCAAACACATCTTGGAATTGATGCAGGGTTGAAAACTGCTGACGATTCACACTTTAAAATGTCCAACCCCTTGCCAACCCTGCGTCAAACCAGAGATTGACTTCAACCAAGGGTGAACTCAATTCTGCTCAGGACCGTATCTCAACCCGGACTGAAAATGGTCCGTGCTCATTCCTAGATTGACCTCAACCCAGTAAACTCAGTTTTCTTGAAACAAATGTGAAGCGACGCCGGGTTAAATGCGGGGTTGAAAAGTTTGTAGTCTAGGGCGGTTATGGGTTTGCCCAGGTTTGTGTTCAGTGTGGCTTGAGAGGCTGCCGTGTGAAAAGGCCTGCTTGTGTTTTTTTCCTTTGGATGTTTGGTCTAGACTTGTCTGCTTTCCGTGACATGAAATTTTAAGATGTTTAAGTACTGGTGATGGGATAATATTTTTACCCTGTATTCTATTCCAGTCTGGGGGCCATTGTTGCTGTATCATGAACAATTTAGGCCTTCCAAAAGTCAGGTTTGGCAGAAGAAATGGTCTATTATTTCTCTGCATTAAATTGGTACAGATAGTAACGTTACAGTAAAGTCCTGCTTATTTTTTCCTCCTGTGACTCTATCTTTCTTACCTTGCTTATTGTACTGGCATGCAATTTCCTCGTCCATGTTCCAGGGTTTTTTATTTTATGTATGTCTGGCATCATTCAATCCATAATTTGCCAGTTTTTAATCTGACTTCCCTCTCACATTGTGGATGGACAGAGAAGGTAATGTTCTCTGTTCAAATGCCCAACGGAGATTCCTTGTCGAGGGCAAAATTCAATATGTTGCTTTTCTTCCAACAGAGATAGCAACTTGTGAGCCATCCACACTTGTGTGCATCGTGGACGGTCTACCAAAGTGCTTGCCAGAACACAAACGATGCGACGGCATCCAAGACTGTTTGGCTAACGAGGACGAGGCGGCATGTGAGTGCATCTCTGGGTCTCGGTTGTTGTCTCCGAGAAAAGTTGCCAAAAACAATTTCATGAGTAATGGGGACTTGTTTTAGGTGACGCTGAAGTTTTGGCAAGCTCAAAACAAGTCTGGTTCCCTTCAGGGGTCACGATTCTGTTCAAAATGTGACCCACCATTCAAACCAGTCTGAAGTTGGTATCTTTTATGTTTGACATTTCCAATGTACCAGTGTAGGGGTCCAGTGTATCAATGGTTTCTGCTGAAACATTGGTCGTTATGGGGAATGAAAAATCTTTGTATATTTGGTATCATTTTCCATAGAGCTTGTCATTCTTTAGTCAGGGCCAATTTCATAAAGCCGCTTAAGTACAAGATATGCTTAAGTGCAAGAAAACCTTGCTTGATAAATCAGGTAGCCAACCAAATCTCCATTTGTTTTGGGATCGTATTTACACCTGTCTTTTGGTTAGCATGACGATCAGATAGAGTTTGAGCTGGTGACCTTTGTTTTTCAATAAGCAAGGTTTTTTCACACTTAAGCAAATTTTGTGCTTAAGCAGCTCTTTGAAATTGGGTCCTGGTCTTAAAGGGCCGGTATTCCCCAAAAAGTAGACCAGAAATGTAATGAACAAACACAACTGAAACAAAAAAGGGAAAAAAGAGAAAAAAGCAAACCTGCGTTGCTAGTAAACAGTGGACAGTCTTTGCCAAACCTGTAATAGAATTGAGGAATGAATGTTTGTTTTTGTACTGATGAATCGTTCTTGTCTATCTCTCTATCTCTCTCTCTTTCCCTTGATTTGGTTGACAGGTGATGTGGTATGCTCCGCCGACACTTTTAAGTGTCAGAATGGCCAGTGTATATCATGGGACAGAGTGTGCAATCTGCAGTCGGATTGCAGTGACAACTCAGATGAGACCTCATGCTGTAAGCCCTTGTATTCAGTGTTATGCTGTTGGCAGAGGCAAAGCCTGCAGCAGTGTGTACACTTTTTAAGTTGTAGGCAAGCCTTAAAGCTTAAATGTGTGAGAAGAACACACAGCCAGCACCCAGTGCTGAATCAAAACGTTAACAGTTGAACAAGACTCAAATAGCAAATATTATGTTATTTGATAAAGAATTGAAGGTTACTTTGTGCAAAAGTGAGCCTCACTGTCAAGTTGACAATGTATGACGTGCAGATCCTAACCAAATAGACCTTTCAATAATCAGTTCGTAGTTCCCACTGTAGCATAAAGCGTGAGCAGTCTATTGAAAATACATACAAGGGTACAAATTTCAACCGTTCCTTTTTTCTGAGGTTCTGCAGAATTTTTCTCCCTTTTTCTTAAGCAAACCCTTTAAAATCATTGCAGTTATAGATCTTCATGGGTTTTTTGAGCACCAAATAAAGACATTCAAAGTTTCTTTTGTCTCAGTGCACGAGGTCGGTAGAAATCAGCAGGGCATCTTTTGGCATGAGCTTGAAGGCAGACTCTGCTCACCATGTGAGCTGACATGTGTAGTCTAACTCATTGACACCTGGTGGTCAAGCAGTACTTTGATATCTTTCAACTAATGGGACCCTCTTGGTAGATCTGCCTGACTGGCCCAGAATATTACGCCAAGAGAGCTAGGGTTAATGTTAACTGCTTTCTTTTGGTTTTTTTTCCAGACAAGGACACAGTGGAGTGTGAAGCAAGCACCTGTCAAAAGGAGTGCATCACCCTGTCCCCTACCAGCATTGTCTGCAGCTGTGGGAGGGGTTTCGTGGAGACGGCAGATGGTTGTGAAGGTGGGTGCTTGCATGTGTGCATGAATGATCAAGGGTACCAGACCATATATACTACTCTCTGTTCAAAGAGCACAGCTTCTTGCAAAGGAGAAGGAACAGAAATACAGAAATAAAAGCAAGGACAAAAAAAGAGGAGCTGAATGAGTGAATTTGTGAAGGAATGGAAATGGGAGGATCATGTGAACATTAAACATGCCCTTTTCATGTGGGCGGCTACCTCATTTCACAGATGAGTTGAAGGTGTTGGAAAGGAATTGTTAGTTGCGTCTCTGTTTGGTCTTCTATGGGATGCTGAGGTCACATCAGAAGATGTGCTGACAAGAGTCCTCGTGCATGATGAGCATAGTTATTGTGCAAGTGTATGAAGCAGTGTTGTTGAGTCCGTCACAAATCCCTACACGGGTCCTTTGATACGACCAGTCATAAGTAACGGGGTGAACGGCGACAAGGGAATGCTTTTGTTGAAGTTATTCTGGATAGCTTGTGACTTTGAACAGATGACTTGTGATGAACCTGGTTGGACTTTTAAGGAACCCAACTCCATTACTGGTATGAAAAAAACGATTTAGAAGTCTGAAGAAAATTTATTTTAAGCAGAGGCCAGTGGACAGCCACATGCATTCAGTGTGGTAGCAGTTTTTGATGATCACACCTTTTGACCCCTGCTTTTGGCTGTTTTTGTTTTTTACCCCCCTGAAGATATCGATGAGTGCTACCTCAACAACCCTTGCCCCCAGGTGTGCAGGAACACCAAGGGTAGCTATGAGTGCTACTGTGCCAGAGGGTTTGTGGATCGAGGCATCCATGGCATGGACTGCAAAGCTGAGGGTAGGCGTCAGCACCAGCGTTGTTGTGATTTCTGCCCTCAAACTATCTGAGTGATGAGAAAGACGAAACGTTTATTCAACCCTGCTAAAATGCAGCAGCACGCAAGAGTGGCTAAAAGCCATCGCACTTTGATAAAAATTTAACAGGTAGAAAGTCTGACATTTTGATCTCCGCAAGATCATCAGGGGTCATTCCAGTCTGTGCGCAGCTTTCTTGTTTTTTTATTTATGGCAAATATTTACGTGTAGCAGCTTTGGAGGGTTCCCAATTTCCAGATTTGAAGAGGTAATTTATTTCCTATTTTAGAGTCCAAAAATAAAGCCAAAAACTAGCCTAGACAGCAATCTTCAGCTGTCTTTATTGAAGAGGAATACTATATTTAAAAAAAAATAAAGGCGTACAAAGATGCTGCCCACATAACTGAACAATATGTGAGTGCCAAAATGTTGTGTAGTATCCAGACTTTTAGAGGCTGTTAGCAGGAAAACTATTGGAGATATCAAGCTGAAACTTCAGTTTTCTTAATTTGGTATGCCAAGGCAGTATTAGCAATCTGATACAGACAGAAACTGAATTGGGTTACAAGAACGGGTGTTCAAAGTGGCGGGATTGACTTTAATCTGTGTGACTATGACTCGAGGAAGACTTGACTTGTTTTTGTCTCAAGCCCATCAGCTACAGCAGTGTACTTCAAGTCATCTCTCCAACACTTGTAACTATTTATCAACTGTTTTTTTGGGATTCATTGTATCCCTTTCTTTGCCTGGTCTGCATCTCTAGGCGATATTGAGGTGATTCTGTTTGGGGACGGCTCAGAGTTACGCAAGTATGTCCTGGAGCAGAATGTGTACCAAGACCTTGTGGTGAACGAAGCTCGCATCGAGTCCTTGGACTTTGACAACCACTCAGGTACAGCTGACCAACAACTCCCTCCCTTTCTCTGGGAAGTGCCTCGGAATGCCAGGGGTTTCTACTCCTCTCTTTTAGGCAGTCCCCACTTCATAAATGCCAGTAACCTCCTCCTTCATTCTGTGTCTGCCACAGACTTTGTTAGCATTACTTTTGCTCTTCCATTCTCACAATTGTCTGTGACAGTGGCATGAAGTTTCTGAGGTTTAAGGCCATTGCCTGAGAACTGTGCCCACATGTTAAATTTCTTTTCATTGCACTGTTGGTAAGCCACACGGCTGTCGTCATAAAGCATTGCCCTGGCTTTTTAATGTGACACCGTGGGTTTTCATGATAGTACATGTATATGGCTCTCTGTGTGTGCACACAGGCATGGTGTACTTTGCAGACACAGAGCTGCGGGCAATCAAGAGGGTTCCGTTTACCAACGATGGTGCCATGGAAGCTCCCGACAACTTGGGCCTAGACAATGTGTACGCGCCCGTGGGCATCACCATAGATTGGCTTGGAAAGTAAGTGCCCTTTGGAGCGGTAGAACTCAGTTTGCTTCAGTTGTCTTGAGGAAAGTTTAGTTTACAATTACAGTTAACTTTAGTTTACCCAATATGGCATGGATGATAGATGGATTATACTTTCTAGTCATTATTTCGAAACCGGGCCCCTGGATAATAAAAAGTGATGATCAGTAACTGATTTAATATCAGTATGGAAACAACCATTAACATGAAAATAATTGTAAAACATGTCATTGATTGTGATTACTGCAAGAGTTGCAGCTAACAACAAATGTGAGTGATGTCATGATTTTTCAAAATTGTTCAACGACAGTCAGTTGAGTGTGATTGTATTGTTTATACACATTGTTAAAAAGCAGTGGACCAGTGGTTGAAGTAGATGTGGTCCACTGCTTTTTATCAATGTGTATAAACAATAAAATCACACTCAACTGACTGTCGTTGCTTCTTGTGATTGTGCTTAAATAATGACGTTGCCTGCTCAACTTTTTATGAGACAGGTTGCTTGATGTAAGCTCAGATTGATTCCGTGGTGGCACCGATAAGCTGGCCGCAGATTTTTGGTGTCAGTGTTGGCAAATCACAGCCATCAAGAACAATGTCCCTTTATAATGATGACATCACAGTTTGTTTACATGTGTGCTTTCCCATGGAAGCCAGACGGGATGATGGATTTAAGGTCCGTAGGAAAGTCCATGTATCAGCCAAAGTGGGATGTCATCAGCACAAAGTCTAGTTAGTTGCTCGTATTTTTATTTGACCCGAGTTGCAGAAATATTGGATAATAAGTAGATGTTTAAAAAGAGCAGTAAAGAATTGTGTTTCTCAGACTGCCTTTTCCTGTTTTTTATGACCTACAACATGCTATCTTCTTTTCAGTTGAGGTCAAGAATTCTGTTTTGTTATTGTCAAATGGCAGGTTACCTTGATCTTTCAGATGTATATGCTTTTGAGTAGTGCTTAAAATGTTATGTAATCATCAACCAGAACTAGCCAAGACTGATACTTTCATCATTGGCACAGCACCCAGTCATTTGCCCATTTTGTTGTTGCGTTTCCGTATTTGGTATTTTATCCAATACAAAACTTGTATGTAACAAAAAGACAGTCTAAAGAGGAATTGAAAGAAGCACCCATTCTTGTCAAACAAAACTCAAAAGGTTTTTGAGAAGTATCACGTTAATTGAAGTCTTAAAAGAGGTTGCTTAGGAAAACAAAGAAAAACAAGAAATGACATAATTGCCAACTTTCATTTAGTTTTTACACTTTTCACCTCCTGTAGCAATGTATACTTTACGGATCAAGGTCTTCCTGATGCTCCTCGCGGCAGACGTGCCGCCGCAGACCGAGGGCCAAAGGTCGCTGTGGCTGCCCTCAAGTCTCATCCCTACCATGAGAAAACGCTGCATGTAGCTACCATGCCACGCGCCATTGCGGTCAACCCACGCCGAGGGTGAGGGGATTTTGTTTTTCCCCAGCTAGTGGACTGCATGTGTATGTGCAGCAATAATCTCTTGCGTAAAAATATAAAATTGCTCTTTTTGCCAATAACATGACCCAATCCTTCCAAGTACAACAAACATTGGCGCATTTGTTCGACGGGCCTCTTCACTTTTTACCAAAGACATGGGAAATGTTAATTGGTACTTTGAAACTAGCGTGTTGTAATTTGTTTCTGTGCCTAATCAAGTTTCACTGTGCTTCAGTGTGTCTAGGCCTGTATGGAGGGGGGGGTTCAGTCAACTCTGAGGGTCAATCACACAGCTTTTACCCCCCTCCCACTTGCACCTTCCAAGTATTGGTTGTCACACCCACCATCCCTTCCCTCTGTAGCCTGATGTACTGGACCGACCTCGGGGCACCCGAGAGAGGATCGCGCCTCTTCATGTCCTGGATGAACGGCGAGAACAAGATACCGGTCCAAGCAGCCACTGGGAAACTGGACCAGCCCACCGGACTGTCAGTGGACTACGCTGGCAATGATACCGTCTTCTGGTGCGACGCCCGGTCAGACAAGATTGGTTTCATCACCTATGATGGGTCACACTTTGTCATTCTCCAGACATCCGGCAGTAGGTTTAGTTATTCCAAATTTTTTTTGTTTCCTGGAAAGGGGCCAATGACCTTTTAAAGGGCAGGATATATTTAACAGCTAAGCACTGTTCATGTCTTGTAAAAGGGACTTGTCCCGCATTACGACAGTCATCACTTGTTTTTCCTGCCAGCATCATACAAAACTCCAAAGTTGTCTCTGGGCAAGAAATTACTGAAATCATGGTTGTTCCAACTTTTGAATAACATTAGCTTCTTCATGTTAAATTATGCAAATCATCAGGCGCACCACCAATGACATGATAAATGTGTACGGTTGTTGCACTCAGACATATTGATCACAGACTATGACAGGACTATCCCACTTGCCACTTCCTGATGCAGCTTTTAAAAATGGTCAGGTTTAACGCTGGTCCCCTTCTGTCTCTGTCTCATCATTCCTTCAGGTCTCAATAACCCCTTCCAGCTGGACGTCTTTGGCAATCTCATCTACTGGACCACCCGGTGGACTGACCAGCGTGGCATGATCAGGACCATGAACAAGACCGGCGGTGAGCAAGCGCCCTTCCTGTCCGGGCTGAACTTGCCCACGGCCGTCAAGGTTTGGCAGCAGCATCGCTACCCCCTGGATGGTAGGTTCCAGTCTCTCCCACCACACTCAGCCTGTTAACCATCATGATAGTCTGTCAATCCAAAATCAAACCTTACTGATCGTTGCTATCGGTACCCATGCCTCATGCATTATTCATTAACTCACCACAAACCTTCACTGGGCCACTTACACCGACAGATTACAGATTTGCAGACCCCTCCTAAATATGTCTTGCCGACCATAGGCATTAGCGCTAGTTATTGTGTGCAGGGGCATAAGTGAGGGTAGGGAATGTCAGGGTTTGACAACCTCGGTGGACAACTTCAGAAAACGGGTTAAAAGGAGAGCTGATTTTAGTGCCAACTTTGTCAGTGTTCATAAAGTTGATTGCATGTGACCGTCTTTTCCCACAGTGCCCAACCCCTGCGAGAGGAACCCGTGCCTCTACCTGTGTCTGGTCGTACCCAGGCAGAAAGGCAATGCCATCACCAAGGGCTTTGAGTGTGCCTGCCCCAGTGGTGTGCCAGTGGATCCCAGGCATTGCGAAGGTAAAGCATACCCGAACACCCCCCTTCCCCAGTGTTACTTCATTCTGTATACTCGCTGTCAGGATAAAAGTGCCCTTGCATTCCATCACCTTGCACGAACAGTGGCAACTTTCTTCAGCTCCGTGTCTCAACACAAGCTGTTTTCCTTGCCGTAACATCACTCATGTTTTATAGAGGCATTTCTCCCTACTCTCATTTCTCTACCACTGATCGTTAGCTTAAAATTTGAGCTATCCAGCCCCGCATCTTTGAAGGCTTCCAAAAGACAAAACTAACTAGAATACAAGTGAATGATCACTGTTAAGCTCATGTAAAAAATGTCACATAACACTGTTAACTTTGGGCATATGTTTCACAGTTCTTCCTGTTTTGAGTTTTAAAAATTAGTTGCCTAACTACTGGAGCAAACACCTCATCAGTTTTAGGGCCATGGTGTTGTGATACATCAGTAAAATCTGAAATCTAATCTACCCTCTGAACACTCTGAAATCAGGATCACCAGTTGTGCCCACTGCCACCATCCCTGCCACTAGTGCTGTCCCGGTATGTCTGTGTCTAAATGGAGGCTACTGCAAGCCAGACGGATCATGCCAGTGAGTATACAAGTATATTGTCTTTCCTAGTCCTGAGTTTTGTCAAAGGTCTGTCCGCCTCTCTGTCTGGCATGTTGTCAGCGATGGTGCTCTTATTGGTGAGGGGAAGGAAGGAGCATTTCCAACTGAGAGGGGGAGAGAAATCGCGATTCCATTAAAATGACAATCTGATGAGCGGAGAATCGGGGCTCCCCCTCAACCTGGAAAAGTCATAGAAACTGGTTTTGGTTTTCCAGGCCTGGAAAAGTCATGGAATTTTGAAAAAATGACTAAAGTCATGAAAAAGTCCTGGAATTTTTCAAACACTGTGTGTGATTCCTGTTATCACAAATAAATGTACAGAATGCGTAATTTTATTATTTGTAACTTTTAAAGTCCCAATAGTCCCAATAGTATTATTTAGCTGCCCTGGAGAATGGTTTTACTCAGTTAAGTAGAAAGATTCCTGGACTTCATGCCACATGTGGTTTAGTAATGGGTTTTGAGCTTACTTACACTTGGCTCGCAATATGACCAAGATTTTGTTTAAGTTTCTGTAATATCGGTGATCTATAAATGGTTGTGATTATAGATGCATTATTCGTGAAAGCCAGAACTGGCTGTTGCTTAGCATTTTTATAAAGAGCCCAGAAACATAAAAAGTTCCAATGCATATTTCCCCAATTACTGTCGATGAGGGACACATTTTATGGGGTATAGCATCAGTAGTTGTTGTCTTGAGTTTGATTGAAAAGATGGTTTGGGCATTCTGTGAACAAGTTTATGGGATACATGACTTCATGCCCCAAACAGACTGAGCAAATGTCCGAGAATAAAGGAACCAAGGGACTCGTAAAATTTTACCAGTTCCTGGAAATTCAACAAGTTGGGAGGGGTCTGTTTATTAAGTGGACACAACTGGAAATCTCACAGGTGGCTGTGCTGTATAGCAACGGCCTGCCAACAATTGTAATATCTGGAGATTTACAGACAGGAAAGACAACTCGCTGACAAAATTGATGGTGCTGGCTTTGGAAAAATAAAGACTGGTTGAAGTTACCGGAGAAAAGAGGAAAGCTGACAAAATTGATGGTGCTGGCTTTGGAAAAATAAAGACTGGTTGAAGTTACCGGAGAAAAGAGGAAAGCTGTTGAATAGAGAGTGGTTTTGGTTGACTCCCATGAGGAGTGGATTTTGTAGTTGTGTTCTGTTTGTCAAGTTTTGTTCAGTCAGTGTTCACTTCTTATTTCCCCAGATGTCCTGATAATTATGAGGGAAAAATTTGCGCTACACCGTCTGAGCACGGCGGAGGTCCTCCAAACCAAAATTCATGTAAGTTGCTTTTTTTTTTCAAGGTTTAACAGGCACCACACCACATAGAAACTGCATATGGTGCTATGGTGCTGTGGTCTGTTTATGAAAGCTGCGTCAGGATACATTGTTTCCTTACACTTGTTTGGCAGCCCATACTGTTGGATACACGTGACCAAATTTCACCTGAATGAGCACAAATCCATGCTGCATTCTTACCACTAGGCACAATTTTGCACAAAATCTGCTGACTTTCCTTTTGCCACGTAATAATCATAGTTTTTGTCAACCAGTTGATTACTTATTTGTTCATATTATTTTATTCAAAGTCGCCCCCCCATGATCTGCTTCCTTTTATGGAGAAAGAAGCTTTCTGCAAGATATTTCACAAAACTTGATCTGTCTTGTCTGTGTGTGTATTTCCTGTGTTTGTAAAATTATTTTGAGGTTGTACCAGAAGAAAGCGTCTTTCCATAAAGTTTCCTGCCACAACACAAAGTTCATCTCTCACCCCACGGCCCACTGGACCCATCAAACATGCTTACCAATAGTATACAGGCATTCTTGGCCAGTATTTGTGAATATGAAATTTGCATACAGTTGAATGCCCCATTCAGTCAGCACAAAAAATACCCCATCCCCTGATCCAATTTTTTTTCCCTACATACCAACCCTATTTTTGAAAGGCATTGTAATCTGAAGCAGCATTATTTTGGCCTAACCAATTACCGAAAAATGGGGCCATTCTGTATGTCAACTTTATACCGAGTGGATTGATTAAACCTTACCCCATTTAATGTGGTTCGTATTTGTGGTATGGTGTGGTAATTTGCGGCTGAAAAAGCTAAACCTTACAAGTTTCAGCCCTAGTGTTGGACCAGCAGTTTGTGTTGTGGGGACTACCACTTATGTTTTTGCAATTTTGTCAAAAGTGGACATGGTATATCCATGTGAGAAACATTTATCAATGTTGATGTCTTGGGTGAGGTGATATAAGGCATCCAGATCTGTCACTTTCTCTTTTTTTTGCTTCAAACTTCAGAGATAATTGTTTGGTTTCTTGTCTAGCTCATCTCAAAGTTAGCATACTTATTAGATCATTAACATTACATGTATTCTAATGTTAGTCCTTCTTCAAAACCAGGATTCAGGTTTGCTATTTTATATTAGTTGGTAGCTCTGTTTAGCAATACTAAAATATTTCCTATGTTCCACTTCAGGGATGATGAGGTAGTAAACTGAAGGAATGCCATTTGAAATGTCACCTGAATGATTGTTTTTACTGTATCTTTGGTGAATGTAATCTCAGATAACACAGAACTGACCGTGCTCATCTACTGGTATTCTGTGAGAGTGCAGTGTACATGGTTGTCAGTGCTTCTAATGTCTCTGGCTTTTCTGAGGGTTTCTTGACATAACCTTTGTCTGACAGCTTATAACGTCAAACAGTAACATCATAGTTTTTTCATTCTCTCCAACTTGCACCGGACCTTGCAGTCAATCACCTGCCATTAAAGGGTGGTCAACACTTAGGTAGATAGTTTGTTATGTGAACTTGTCCTAGTTGGTTGTGTGAATCATAAAATCATGACAGTGAGAAGAGTAGTAGATGTAGAATTCTCCTACTTAGGCCTACCCCTACCAATTGGATAGCATCTGTCAATTTCTTTTATATTTCAGCCACTGGGCACAGTTGTCCTTTCATCCTCAAAAATCTTGACTCAGTACTGGTTTTCTGTAATCCCAGTTTAACACCCATGGTTAAAAAATGATTTTTTCCCCCGGTATTAATGTGGACAATAGCAATGAGTGCCAACTTTCCATTTGTTTAATGATTATCCTAATAATCCAGTAGTTTTACAGTAAAATCATGCATGTGATTTTTGCCATTGACACACAAACTTTAACCACTTTGTGCCGGGCCCATTTATCCATGTTGATTCTGCTGGGCCGGGTAATTCTTCATTTTTTCTGTTTTCAAAATTCTTTAAAAATTCATAACTTCATTTACTGGATGTTTATACCTACTCGAATGACTGTCTGGTGGCTACTCTAATCTGAAAAACAGCATCAAATAATGGCCAAGTATTTCAGCTAGGCCTGCCGCCTTGTAAAGGAGCCCAGATTGTGCGGTGTTAAGCAATTTTCTTTTGTTTCCAAAACCGGATTTGTGCACTGCTGATGTCTTTTCAACAAGGGCCAGATTGGTGTGCAGCGGTATTGTATCACTCACCACTGGAGCGCTTTTGTCCCCGGTGGTAATCCACTCGGCCTGAATGCCACAAACAGTGGTATAATCTTACAAAACAATGACGGATTTCCTCCGCTATTAACAACTGAAAAAATGTTGGAAAGTCCCAGCAGCGTGGACGTTTGTTCCGAGTATGGTCTTTTGTTACAAGGCCTAGCTCTTTTGTCCGATTTTGGGCACCCCGGCAATGCGTACAAAGCCAATAACTCCGAAACCAAGGTCCCTGGCAGCAAGTGGTTAAGGGTTTTCCTGTTTGTTGTCTGTATGTTGTCACATCGTGTAAGCCGTCTGCAAATTATTCTTTTTTTTGGTTTCTTTTGTGATCGTTTACGTAATGCATTATCCAGTCTATTGTGACGAATGATGGTGATATATTTTGTCTTGCAGCCATTGGCCTTGTAGTGGGGCTGGTCGCGTTCATCTTCATCGCCATCATTGTGATTGTCATTCTGCTGTTTGTGTTCCTGAAAAAGCGAAGGTGAGAATCAAAAATGGTCTGCTTTCTCTCCAAAAAATTCAAACTGTCTGAGAAGATCTCTTCCAAATTGTGCGAAAGGGCTGTCCTTTCCGAGCACAAATAACATGTTTCTACCAGTCACGTCCATCGCAATTCCAGTAACAATTCTGGCCAGAGTAGGAGAGATGAACAGTGACACAGGAAGGCCTTTGGGGCATTTCATTCTGACAGCTGTAGTGAACAGCTTGTGACGTGAGACTGGATGACAGATTGACTTTTGGTAACCCAAGAGACTCACCCACAACAGTGGAAATCAGTTTGAGCAGCATAGCCAGCAAAATCACCCCTGCAATATTGTAACAGATATTGATCCTTAGAAATACAAGTTTTTTTCAAGCATGAAAGAGCATGCTTTTTTAAAGTTACGATTACATAGGAGTGAGTGGTTAATTGACCTTGGAGTAAGAGATGGTATATAACAACAGTTTGCTTGTACTGTTCAGAGATCTTAAGATGCTTTTGTTTTACTGACTGTGGTCAACAGGAAGTTTGCAGGTCCAGTGACATATCGCGATGGGCAGAATGTTGACATTCATGCCCCTCCTCCAGGCAGGGAAGTGGAACCGCCTAACCACTATGAGGTAAGACCAGACACCAAAAGGAAGGCTTGAGAGATTCATAAGAGTAGCCGTTCTCTTTCATCACTGTAAACAAGATGGAAGTTGCAGAACCACTGCTGTACTCACAGTTCTTGATAAGTACCAACAATTGCTTTACAAGTACTCGCAGATTTTCACCAAAGTACAGCTGAATACAGTCCTAGTAAATGTCACAAACTATTTGAAACCTGCGAGTACTTGGGTCATTCTGTAAGTTCAGGGTCCAAAAGTGGGACATTTTTGTATCCCAGTTGCACCTGACCTGTGTGATTTGACGGGGAAGTAACCTATTTCTGTTTGTTTGGCAGGTAATTTGCATTAATTCATCACTATTGGAAGTTAGAAAATGTGTTCTGAACTTACAAAATCATATCTCAGATGTGACAAGGACACGAAAAAAATTTGACCCCTAATTTATAGAAAGACCCACTTGCAAAACAAGTTTTACAGAAACTGTACCAAAGACTCTGCAAGCAGAATCATTCTCAGGGGAAGAGTCTGAGCAAGAGGTGGAATCTGTGAGGATTCTACTTGGATCAAAATGTTAGGCCCTCCAATTTCTTAGAATAAGCCTTTTGCGAGTTGAATTTGAATCAAATCTGGTACACTGAGTTATGTAATTGCACATAAACCAAACAATTTGAGTTCCCCAGACTAAAGACACTGTTGCTATACCATGTGATTGAGGGCAAGCATTTGCATAGCAACCACCATCTCTGGAATGGACTGGTTCCTTTGTGTACTTCTTATCCATTGTAAAGAGTGTATTGGTCTCTTACGTAACTATGCAAACGCTTGCCCTGAATCATGAGGTATAGCGACAGTGTCTTTAGCATGGAGATTCAAATTATGTTCAGGTGAATTTAAAGCAGTCAGTGTACCAGATTTTACTCAAATTTAGCTCACAAAAGACTTATTAAAAGGGCTTGATTTAGTACCCGTGATGACTTATAGTGATAACAGTGATGAGAGATAAACATCCAAAGTTGTTCGCTCTCTAGGTTATTGAGAAAAAAATCTGTACCTTTTCTTGTGGCCTTGGCAGACCTCTCTGGCACCGCATGCCCCCGTCACCTTCGAGAACCCCCACTACGCCCATGTGGCTGGTGCTGCCGGTGGGGGAACTGTCACTCTCCCGCAGAAAACGGCCCTGCCCTTCGACCCCTCCCTGTACCAGCCGGGCTACCAGGCTGAAGCCTTGCCTGAGAAGGCCTACCTACAGGACGGCTCCCCTGCGCTACAAGCCCACTACCCAGAGCCCCCGCCAGCCTATTCTCCCAACACCCCCCCGCCCCCTTCCTCAGAGGGCAACAAGGAACCTGACCAGGAAGCTTAGATCCAGATGGAGACAAGCTGCTTGAGTGTTGATGGGAAGTATAACTTCAATTTCAAAACTCTTTGTTTCTTTTGTCCTCATAACTTCCAAGCTGTGCTAGAGAGCACTCCTGTGACCCCAAACTTTCTTGGCCTGTGTTACTATCCTCGTAGACAAAACTGCTGAGTAAGATTTGTGTGTATTCATAATGTTGCTCTTGTAGATTGTGTGTTCATCCTAACTTTCATTAATTTGCATCATCAAGTTTACACAGCTTAAGGCCACTTCACTCTCTGCTTAATGTCGCCTTATTAATTTGTGAATGTGACTAAACCTAACGTGAGTGGCCAAAAAAACAAAAAAAGTCTTGCACAATATAAAGCAATAGGAACCCTGAACGTATTTCGCCCATGTAATGTCTGTTTGCCTCAGGATGCCAAAACTGAATGGGGTCAGAACAGAGAGCTTCATTCGCTCTTTCTACAAAATAACTGAAACAAATTCTTCAGCCTAATTTTGGTGGATCAGTCATAAACGTTCAAGTAGCAACTTCACGGAAGTTTGAACGTATTTAAACACTGGCAAATTGCATTGTAAACATTCTATAATCAGTTCCATTGTAAAGAGCATCTAATATGAAGTAGCCTTTGGCAAGTTTGAAAATGGAGCAGCACTCATGTCATCCTAACTGACAGGAAACGACTCCATATGTGTGCCTTCAATTCAACAAATCTGCTATCGCGGCAGAACTTGCTTACATAACTACACTGGGTATGAACTAAATGAAAGTGCCTTATCGTGGTGTATTTCCATTCTCGGAAAGTTCAAATAAACTTTAATTGACGCATGTAATAGTGGATCTATCGCTGTTTTAGTTACGATCACGAGAACTTGGGTCAAATTTCACAGCGCTGTTAGGCAGAGAATTTTCTACCAGCAGAATCTCGGCTCTCAAGTCTCAACGCAGACTGGAGGCACATTCTAGTGGCAAAATTGGAACAAGGTAGCAGCTTAGCTGTCACTACCCCTTCAGCATATCTGTACACCTCAACCTTCAAGTACGACTAACTTCATGCAGTTTTTGGCGCAACTGTTACTGCCGAATGTTACACAGTGCTGTGAAACTGGACCCTGCAAATTTTTCTTTTTGACTGGCCGTTTGAAGCCTAGATATTTTGTTTTTGAAAAAATATGCAAGGTGTATAGTATAAAGATAAGATCTTTATTTTTAGAGTTTATAAGGCAAAATGTGATGACCGTTTTGCAAGGCTGTTAAAATATTATTCAAGAGCTGTTGGTTTTAGATGTTTTTTAATCTGAGTTAATGCACTGTTACAATGTACCTAATGTGTTTAATTTAAGAGGAAAAATTATACATACTATTTTTCTTTGGAAGAGGCAATTGGTGGATATACATTTTAATTGCTAAAGCATATTTTAAAATTGATTCGCTCTTAAAACTTTGAAACTTTTCTCCTTTGAAATAAAAAGTACTAATCCATTTAGCCTGCCAGTTGCTTCTATACAGTGAAAGATAGCACTGTGTGGCCTACTTGCAAGAAGAGGACATGCAATAAATGGCACTGAAAATACTCAGCCAGTTTTCGTCAGAATGTGCACAAGCCCATAGCATATGTGTAAGGATGGCAGTTGAACATCAACAATGGCATTTAAGAACACATCACACCTGTTTATCCCTGTACCAGGATATGAATAATATAAAACTACAAAAAGGTTGTGGCAATAATGAACTTTTTCAGTTTTATTTTTCTAAGGAATGAAATCATGAGTGTTACTGTATACACAGGAATGCCCTCTAACAGACACCTTTTCGCTGGGCATCTTGGCAGTGGAAGAGTACTTGACTGCAAGGTTTCTTTTAAAATGAGTATGGTATTCTTAAGAATGTCGTGTTTTAGGTGTACAAATTTATTTAGTAGTACGATATGAAATATTTTTTTGTGCGCAGCCAGTTGCCAGTTGAAGGAGGGGGTAATCTCAGTGCTGAGAGAAATGTGTCACTGGGACAGTTGGTCACCCACCCACCCTGGTTGTGTTAATTTTCATGTCATGACTTTCAAGGGGAATCGTCAGATTAATCAAGTGAAGACTGACGACCCAAACATGAGGGAAAGAGAGGTGTGTAAACAATGATGCAGACATCTGCTCTTGCTATGAGTTCATGCAATAATGCATACAAAATGTCCAATAATGTGCACAAGACTTCATTCATGTACGTGCCAGCGTATTAACTATGCATACATGTAACGCCTCATCATGTATCCTACAGTGCATCTGTACTTGCTGAGTTTACTGCCCCAGCAGGCATCCTACATCAACAGAAATTCCACCGGTTTGGGCCTGGCAAATCCAGTCGTGTTTAAAGACAGTGTCACTGTATAGTGCTTGTCTGTCCCCCCCCCCGCTGATCTTTCAGTGAGCTTGGAAACATCTTGCCATTGCCCAAAGTCCCTATATATCGTCACTATTTTCACAAAGAGGTAAATTTCTCACCAGACAACAAAACCTAGCTTGCAAGAAAATTACATTTGAAGTTCGTCTCTTTTTTGGTATTCAGCATGCCTTTGACTTGAACAATGCTACTACATGAAAGAGGGGATCGTAATATGGCGCGAAATTGCCAAATTATATTAACGGAAGTCAGTTAAAATTGCTTATTTTGTAAACAAATCCACCTCTTTGTGAAAATGCTTAAATTCATGTGGCTTTTGTTTATCCATGAAAGCTTGTGTTATTTTGCTATAGCTTGTGCCAGGTGCAAATTTTTTACATATGTGTACATTTCCAAAGTCAAACTCGCCTCTTCACGAAAACGGCAAAACAAGTTTGCCCATGAATTTGCCTTTATTGCTAACACTCTACCTATGGAAGACAAATTCGCCTCTTTGTGAAAACGTGAAAAGCTGTTCAGTACAAATTTGTGATTTGGCTGATTTCAGTAGATTTGGTAAAAAACGAGTACACCAAGTTGTAGGCATCCCATAGCCTATTTAATTTTGCCAAAAAACCCAAGAAATTTGAAAAAAATCATGATTTGGGGCCAAAGTGTCTCTTTGTGAAAACAGTGACAATATTCATGTATTAAAATGGGTGTACACATCAGAAGCAACAGGGAAGGGTGGTAACTATGTAACTATATGCGATGAATAACACTAGATGCCATAAGAACCAGTCCTATAACAAAGTAATGAGTCGACTTTGGGGGAATCAGTTCCCCGCTTTGAATTTGCCATATAATCCATTTGTCAACAACCTTATGCATCAGTTGCAGATTATTTTGTGAAACACAGAATGTAATTAGAAATAATTACTTGGAGTGCAACTTAAAATTAACTTTACGCGAATTAAGGAATAAGTCTTTCAAGTTTGTAAAGCTTTACATTGTTTTAAACTGATTTCTGTCTGAAGTGATCACAATTTTTTTTATTGACTTTAAGAGAATCTTTCTTTGGTTATGAAGATGAGTACATTTCACATAGAATACTATCTATTTTTATGGCATACTTGTGTGTATATCAGAAATTTTAAATTAGATATTCGTACGTAAATGTTGATGTACATGTATAGTTATGAATACTCTGGAAACTAATGTTTGAAAGACACTCTAGCATATTGTAGTTTTATTTTCAGAGTTCTTTATTTTGTAGGTGTTTTTACTCGCTAGCTATGTTTCCAAAAAAGGCAACAAAAATAGATGACTGATTTGCAGAAACTGGACTGACATTTCATTTTTGAAATGAATTCAATCCTACTTTTACCCAATTTTATCAACAAAAATCATAAGGTACTACTTTCAAATATTTGTCCTTTTTTGGGGGGGTTCATTGGTATCAAACATAAATCTGACCTCTACTGAGAAACATTAATGCTCAGGCCATTTGTTTGAAAAAGTGACTATCTAGTATCGCTTTCACATTATAAACTGATCATTAAAGGTCATTGAGTGCATTCATTTGTAAACAAATTTTCCCCTGCAGTATTTATCCGTATTTATCAGGATAGTTAACCAGATTTAAAAATCAAAATGAACGGTGGAATACTCTCTTTTGAAATGTGTAATGATAATTGAATTTGTGGGATCATTCAGTCAAAATTTCCCCTTCCAGGGTGACAGGTGAGGTTTAGAGCTATCACCAAATGATGGGACATCCCACCTCAAACAGAACAGGCGTGATCTGGTCCTCCTAGTCAATGTGCTAGAAGTTGGGAATGATTTTGGAAAAATTAGGAGAAATTATGCAATGTGTGATACCAAGGACACAATGATTATGCCTCCAATGATCAAAGATGTGCATGGACATACATATGCACGACTACGGTGGCTCATTATAGTCACCAATTTGTTTAACTGTGAACGTCCCTTTTTTCTCATGGCATCCTCATACTGTTGTTATGACACTGTATGTTCCTGTAATATCACCATACTACTGCAATGTATCATCGTACGGTTGAGTTCATATGTCCTAATACGGCCTTTTAACCCTCCTATGCTGAAGTCACTCTTTGGGTCACTTGGTAAACACCTCAAAGAAGCACAGCTGTGTCCTGTTGTGCACTGCACCAACATGCAAGAGAGTGACCTTGGGCACTTGTGCACATTTGTGCTGGTTAATAGGCCATAATTTCAGGCTGTTATAGTGCTGTATTGCAACCTATTTACTGTGTTCAAGCGTGAGCACACCTCCACCCTTACATATGTATACTTGTGGGGTATTTCCTTTGTTCTCGTGTACAAAACTCCCACACAACACAGAAAGAATTTCAAATCACTGCCATTTCAACCAAATTCAGTTTCCTAGGTTGAAATTTCGACCGCATGTCCCTTATACAAAACACTTCAATTTGCGACAGATGAATTGAAAATTCCTCCTTTTTGAGAAAATTTGAAATATCTATTTTGTGAAATTCTTGCGGGGCACCACTTTAGTACCCCACAAGGTTCAAAACTGGCCTTGTGGGGTACCTTCCAAGGCACCGTGTACAAGCACATGAAAACAAGCAAGCCTAAAACAATGCAATCCTTCATAGGAACTCGATGTGTGCCCACAAATTTGAGGGATAACAACAGTAAAACTGCCATAATACGGAGTGATAATGCCCTTGGAAATTTTGGCATTAAAATGCAACAAACTAGTACAACAATACAATGCCATGGTGCAGTGATGTAATGCGGTAGTAAGGCAGTTAGTTGGATGATATAATGCTTCAGAAATAGAGACATGTGCAACGAATTGGCAAATTTGAGCAATTGTAAAAATGAAACGTCACATTACACAAAGGCACATGGGTCATTCTATACATTTTTTGTGTGTGTCCTTATCACATCTGACATTATGATTTTGTAAGTTCAGAACACATTCTGTCATGAATTAATGCAAATTACATGTACCTGCAAAACATATAAAAATAGTTTGAAATCAATTTCAGTGATATTTCCATGTCAAATAACAAAAGTCAGATGTAACAGGGTCACAAAAATGACACTCTCTTAGAACCTGAACTTCTAGGATGACCCAAATGTTAAGTCTTGAGTTACTCAAGCTTCTCATAAATATGCTAATCTGCATGAGCAAAAAACAAATAAGGACCAAATACCTTAAATAATGTGGGGGAAAAAAGATTAAATGGGGAGCAAAGGCGCCTCCAACAGGATAACATAAAAAGTGCACAGAATGGACCTTTCTGTAATGATACCTTAAATTCTTGCACGGTCAACATCGTCCTTGGAGAGAAAATTCTTCCTGTGAACATGAAAAGACAACTTTTGAAATTAATGCTTGTTTTGTTTTGTGCTGAATCGTGACTTTTTAAAAATCAAAAAAGGCTGTTTTCATATCACACTTGCCCTTGTTCAGACTGGGATTTGTTTTCTGGCACTTATATACAACAAATGCAGTGGGAAGTAATTTCCAACATTCAATAGCACTAGGTACTTCTTGTCCCTATAAACCTTCTCGTCAACGACATTAAAGCTGAGCAGAGATGAGTAAAAGGAAAATGCTCCCAATTACAAATGATGTAAACAGCTGGGTCATGAACAATATTTACACATCTGTACTCTGCTCTGGTATTATTCACACAAACAGCCATAACTGGCAAGCATTCAAGTACAACTGTAATTAATCAGGATACTTAGGTACATTACTACATGATTGATCAATTCATCACAACAGAAGTTTTCCCCAAGTGGAGTTTTTTTTTGTTTAATACCCCCCCGTCTCACTCCCTATGTACGTGCCTTAAGTGAATGTAAAGTAATGATCTGTTAACAGGGCCCAGCGTTTAATGTACGTGGCAGTGTACTTCAACTTGTGGCTAACATAGGCATAAAATGAACTTGAGTTGGGAAGTCGTTTATGGCCCATGGCATTGCCAATGACAAGACTGTGGCATTGTTTCAATAACAGAAATGGCAATGCAGCAAATACAGACAATGCCGGCCACCGGTTGAACTCAGATGGGAACACATCTCAGATGCGTGTTTGCTTTAAATAATACTGGACACTCCTGGCCAGCGGTGAGAGCTCACAAGAAAACGCAGGAACCAAAAGTTGTTGGGTGCGATTTGTTTCAGACAACCCCAAAACACGGTCAGCAGCGGTTGACAAGTGAGAAGCACTACACAACATTCTTTGTGGGAAAAAAAGGAGAAAAAAATCCTACATGACAAGCGGAATACAAGGGAAATCTCCAACAAATAATAAACACCTCACATATGAAAGATAATAATGCACACCTATCTTATGTTTTCATCTAGCTGTGAACATCCTGGACACACAACATTCTGGGAGGCAGCTTAACCAAGTGTGATACGTCTGGTCAATTACCCAATCAAGTTCATGGAAAACTAGACTCTCATATTCACTGGTTGGTTTGAACATGAATCATTCACACACAAAAAACTGATTCCCAAACAGACATGTCATTGCATGTGAAATGTGTCTACAAATGAAATCATTCAATCCAACACAGTTAATCCATTTAACTCAAATAAGGTTGTTCATTCATAACATACAAGATTCATCAAATTTCTTACACTGTACAGTTACACAAACTCAGAAGGCTATAACCTACTACCTTTTATTGACATGGTTATGTATACACTTGGTGCAATTTTTTTTTCTTTTAAATAGAAAACTTCATTCTTTAAAAACAGGTGTTGATGAACACAAACTATGTACATGGCTTACATGTAATCATACCCCAGAGCCCCTTTAGAATTTCTTTTCATAGAATTATTTACAAAATGTCCCGATTTCCATCATCAAAATCAAAGAATGCTGCCAAACGCCAAGGTCATCACTTCTGTGTGACATTTTGGGATTAAAGTTAAGTCATTGTGGTTAGATAAGCCATGATTAAATATATCGGACTTTCATTAAGTCAGTAAACATGGTTTACTGGTCATTGAAAAGATACTTTTTGGGAAGCCTACGACATTTTCAATTTGCATTCACTACACACTGAAAACATAATGGGCTATGTAGCACATAAAGAGATAACTACACTCCGTGTGTTCAGAGATGAAGGGCCACATCAACTGATGTTGCTACTGATCTGGAACCACGTATTTCCATGAACAGTTTGTGTCTCTAATATTCAATATTCTCCACAAGAGAGAAACTAGTGTTTGCATCTGACAGACATCATCAAGAAGATGTCAGCATTCTCAACAGGTCTTCAAAATGAATGAAATTCTAGCAAAGTGAAAAGAATTCTTCGGGTTTCACCCTTTCCCCAAATAAAGCCACAAGTCATGTGCAAAGAGAATTCCATCATTTGAAATTGCAATAATTCTGACGTATTTTGTTGCCAAATGCAAACGCAATATTGTTCTTCCACCTGAGAACAAGGTTACTATGTCTAGGGTCAAAGTTCAGAGTGTATACTTCATTCATCTTCTGCCCATTCACCCTGTACTGTTGAACATCATACTTGTGGCCAAACCTGTTTGTCTCTTCACTGGTGTAATGGAAAAGAAAGCAGAAAGGAATCAATTGTTGCCAAACTCTACAACAGTATACCACACAGTGACTTGACAGGTAAGATTCTATGCTTGGTAATAAAAGCTACTAAAGTTGTTGACCGGAAAGAAAAACCAGGAAGTTTTCAAATATTTTTGGGCAGTCCTCAGAAGCAACGAACATGCTATGCAAAAGACTTTGTGATTTATGTATGGATTATGTTTGGCCCACACAAGCCATTAGGTCAAAGGGGAAATGGTACTGGTGGCAAACGGTGAAGACTTTTTCCTGCTTTCATATTCTGTAATCAATTTTTTTGAATTAATTTTACGAACAAGAACCAGGAGATAACAGTCAATCCAGATGAACAGTTTGAATACAGTGACAATTTTCGAAGGTATCATATTGATCATATAAAGCATTCTGGGGAAATCTCCCAAGTTATAGTAGATAGTTCTCCATTTGAAATCCTGCGGGTAATTTGTTTATTTTAATAACTTTGCAAATGAATATCATAATCAATACAGGAAATAACACAAAACCTTTTCTACTGAACAAAAACAAAAATTATGCTAAATAATACATTAGAATAGAACAGCATTAGTTTCACAGATTTCAGTTTGTGGATATTCCATATCCAGACATAACATACATTGTTCTATGTGACACTGGGAGCACAAAATGTACTCCTGATTTTTCTCTTTTTTCTTCTCGTCTCCCTCTCTTCCCCCCTTTTTTTTAAACCTTCCTCAAACATATATAATAAAAAACTGCAATGATTGAAGTGACAAAACTAAGATATGTGACCTTTAACCTATGACCTTAACCCCTACTGTGGCTACGGCATACCCTTCAGCTGCTTTCTTTACACCAATTCTACCAGTGTGACAAACTCGTCTACCATCCAATTTTTTTTGTAGTTTCAAAACTCTACACACTAGACGACATCGGACATGACAAACATATATCAAAAATGACAGCATGTTATGTGTTTTTAACTCCCACAAGGGCATCTCATGCCCCACCCACAATTCATATATATACACGGCATGACATTAATCTAATGTTGAATCTTAAAATTATGTCACAAATTTACACCCACCCCAAAAAAGTACACAGAAGCTCTGCTCAATGACAGTCAAGCATCTCCCGTCAGAAAAAGAAGGATCCTGGTTTTTATGGTAAGTTGCTACCATGGTGAAAATGTAACCATGACATAAGGCCAATAAATTCCCTCAAGCATGCATGTTTTATTCTGGCCACAAAAAGGAGAGAACAGAATATTTAAAAACAAAACAGACGTAAACTACTCAGCTAACGACAGCCACAAACTGGTTTTGTATGAAAAATATTCTAAACCTTTTGTTGTGGCTTCTTTCGAACATTTGGCAAATAGATTAGAAATCTGTCCTCGGGACGTCTATTTTGTCTATACAAAACATTCTATCATCATAAATTCTACATCTACACTTTATATTTCAATACAAGAATGGGAAACACGATGCATTCTGTCTGCATATATCTAATCTGTTTTTTCTTTTTAGTATATTTCAGTATTTCGTCACATTGACCTTTTTAATTCAAAATCGTCTAATATTCTCTTTCAATGACTTCGTCTATTTCCAAAATGAAAATATACCTGGAATTTAAATATGTATAATTAAAAGTAAAACCCACAAATTCTACTGATCTCTGATTTCAGTTAAAACCTTTGAGTTGCAAGTTTTTCCCCTAGAACCCTTATCTGTGCTTTCCCAGGATACAGAGATACAGAATCAATTAACTCCCATGTTCAAATGGTTCTGGCTGTTGTAATTGGCCATGCAGAAATTAGAGTTGCCCTATTGACAGCTAGTAGAGTAGTTTGCCACGGCATCCAGCAAGTGGTGCTCCCAGACACCACATTCCAGTATCCGCATTATCAAAACTGCATGGATACATAATCGTTTTAAGTCTGGTGGTGCCAGCCACATCAGCGCTGTCCCTGATTGGTCAATGGTCACTTGAACCAAAAGATGGATACCAGTCAAAATTTGAGGCTGAGGTAATTTTCTCTGCTCTATCCTCCTCTCCAACAGTTGCAAAATACAAGCAAGAACTCTATCCAAATCAAACTTCTACTCATGTCTGAAGAAAAACTGTCCAAAATTATTCAAATTTCCAATTAAGAGATGTTGAAAACCAACTAGAAAAATTGCAAATAATGTCATTTTTCAAAATCTGAATCTTTTCCATCCAACATTGTGGAAAGGCAGTAATGTGGGCAGAGATTTGATACTGGATCTATATTCTTCTGAAATGAGGAAAACACTTTGTTAAATAAGATTATATTTTTGGTCATAGGTAATGACACAAGAAATTTCTAACTTGACACAGAAATAACATAGTTGAATGAAAACTTCAAAAAGTTTAGAATGTTTAAACTTTCAAGTTTACAGAACTAGTTTTGGAGGAAATAACATAATTACCTTTGAGGTTAGTTCTTGTGATGCATTTCAGAAAAAAAATTATTATTCATCATTTTTGATGTGTTCCACACAATATAAAATGTACTTGTAATGCAGAGTAGACAGAGAACAATACTTTTGGCAAAAATGTGATTAAATGTGGTCATGGCAACTATACAGCTTGTAAAAAAAATTCTTTGCAAAAATATTTCAACAACCAGTGTCTCAAGCTTTCTGTGCCATTTTCAGGCCTGATGGATTAGCTGTATGTTCCCTTTAAAATGATTTAACCCTCTGTTTGAATATACCTTCAGGCACATAGACAATCTACAAGTGACCTGAACATAACAAGGCAGATTCTTCATCAATTGTACAATTTGAGAAACAAACAAATAAAACAGCTCATTCCACATCTCAATCTTTTGAAGACTGAGCATCTTTTAATAGATTTAACATCCAACCTGATCTTGCACAAGACAGTCAGGGTACTGTTCCTAGTGAGGTCGTTGTTATTTACATTTCGTTAATTTTGGTCAAAGATCTTAATATTAACTCTTACACATACAACTTATCTTGTAAATGGCACTATAAAGGACTACTTATATCAAATGCAATACAGTGGAAAATGAGGTTGACAGGGATTCAGTTGAACACAAGAACTTCCTGTTCTTGAAAGGGGTTAGAATGTAGCGTATACACCTAACAAGAAAAAAAAACACAGCTTTAGTGCCAGCTGCACCTAGATTTGTATTTGACACCAAAACTATGAGCTGTTGAGGTCAAAGACTTCTGCATGCAGTGCTGGGAACTGGAACCCAGGAGATTTGATCTTGAGCTCCATCAGGCGGCGGATGTGCTCGGGACCGATCTCCCTCAGCTTGGGGATGGTGGTAAGGAGGCGGGCAAAGAGACCTTGCTCCTCGGGGTGGTTCTGGGACACCTCATAGTGGAGGGCGTGCAGGAGGTCCAACTGCAGTTGCTTGACGCGCTCCCGATTCTTCAGTCCCGGCCGATCTGTTACGATCACAACGTGGGAGGACCAAAAAGTCAACATTTACAAAGGCAAAGATGAGTTACTCGTACGCGCAAGTGCCGCATAGCTCTTTTTGAATTTGTATGCCGTGTGTTAACCTTATTCGAGTTACTTCTACATCCTTCATAACACTTACTAAACTTGTATTGGATGGCATGTGTTACATGACGTCTCTTTGGCGAGGCCACACCAGGTGCATGTGTGCTTGCACTGAGCAGGTGTGTGCCCACTCCATGCTAGAATGTACAGTCTTTGCACGTGCATCAGGCACCCAACTGACCCCCCCGTCTGTTTTACCGATGAGAGGATATTTCCTCACACGTCAGATAGAACGGAGCTAGCTGATTGTCGTATGTTACTTTTATAACCACCAGAATAAAATCTAAAATCATCTTATCAGTGAACTGCAGATTGCATGATGTGAATACTCGGACCAGCACACAGCAAGCAGATGTGCATGTACCAGAACAGTGCAAAGAGCCGTTCAGAAGCTCATTTGGGTCAAACAAAAATAAACGCTGGCGCAACGCATAGTTAAGTGCTGTAGCATAGCTCTTCAGACAAAATGGCCTACAGCTAATGATTTGCACCAAACACCAGTTATTTTTTTCACTGAGCTTTTTCTGAGCTTTTTTTGAACTAATATAAAGAAACAAACTAAATGTGCCATTACACAAGAAGTGCAATTGGCAAGACACCCAGAGACATCTGCTGAAGCCTTACCTACATGTAGGTTGGACCATGACAACTTTGTGTCACAATTTTACTCTGGACTGAAAGAAAAATGGCGACTTGTACACAAGGAAGATTTATTTGGGTTTTGTACAAAACAAATAACATGTTTCACATTCTTGCAAAGGAAAGAGTACTTTCATCCTGTGAAAGATGGATTGGTTCATTCAATCCACCGTCTTGCCTAGTGACCAGTCACATGTAGTCATACCTGGTGACATGATAACCACAGCAGACAGAAGTGCATATTCGCTGTCATCCAGCAACATCCGATTGACCCTCCGTGCAAAGTCAAAGAGCAGGTCAAACAGATTGCCCAAGGGCATCTTGTGGGCATCGTCCAGGGAGAACTTATCGCCTGTGGTCCACCAGTACACCATGTTGTTTTTGGTGTCGGCCACCGTTGAGAAACGTATCGTTGCCACCTAACAAAAAAGTGGGATCAAAATACGATCAGCACGTAGGAAACTTTTAGGGTGTGTTGTTCACATTCATGTAATTTGTGACAACTTCTGGAAACTCATCAATCAATACACATTACAAGTAATGAAATGGATCTGAAACTCTGAGCTCAAGCAGGTGATGCAAACTCAAAATAATTCAAACAAGACAACCGGACTATGAAACTTACTGGATGGAAAACAGTGAAGAACCTATCTGGGCCACTGCCTAACAATTGAGGCAATCACAACTTTCTTCTGCTATGCTCCAGTGACAAGAACAAAAGAAGACACGATCCAAGTGCCACTGGACTCCCCCTCCCCCAGTCTGAGCTGAGGAAGCCATCCAGACAGGTCATGAAACTGTTCTCCCCCCAGTAAGCTTCACAGTCCGGTTGTCTCATTTAAATCATTTTGAGTTTAAAAGATCAAAGAATGGCTTCAAGATTCATTTCGTGGGATCCAGTCAAAAATGACTCAAACACTTCCGCTTCTGAATATGCTCTATTCAGTGTTAATGTCTATAATCTTCAGTGATTTCAAAATATTTGTGAAAGGGTTCAAAAAACATTCCTTTGACACTTTGGGGGGTAACAGAGAGAGGGACGAGGACAGAGCCAACTGACAAGATATCCCACCTCAAACAAACCCGTCTTGATCAGTGTGATCTGGTCCTCCCGGTCGATGTGCTTGAAGCCAGGAATCATCTTGGAGAAGTTGACGATGCGTGTGATCTGGCTGGTGAACTTGCTGGAGAAGAACTGCCACATCTTGCCACTGTCCACGGGGTGCAGGACATCCGGCAGCTCTCGCGGTGGGTCCTTGGTGGTGGGAAAGCCAGGGGGTGGTGGGCACTTGCTGCAATCATGGTCATACCTGTTCTTTAACTACACCGCACAGGAAAGACGGTAAAGCAAAGCAGAAAATATGGATGTAACCATGTTGTGGAATGGAGGGCAATGCTGCTTCATGAATCTAGCCATGAATACCCTTACAAGAGCTGAAGAATATAGGTGATATGCAAGTCTCCAGAGTTCTTTGTCAGTTCCAAAATCCTTACAAGTATCTTTTAATTACGGCAGATCTTGATTGTGCTCCATTGTATTCCCTATTCCTTTTAAAGTTACAGTAAAATCTTGATACCTCGCATCTCTGGGGAATGGGCAAAAAATTTGAGTTATCGAGTTAAAAGAAGGTCCCGATTTCTTTTGAAGTTAAGTCATTATTACGATGTGTATCATAACATGTACCTATACGCTGACGCACAGTTACCGTAAATCTCCCTGCAACGACTTTTGAAATGACATTGTGCTTATTTTATACTTTGGTGCTACAAGTTTTTGTTCATCATTGTAGAGCGCTTGCAAGTGTTCCGGTGTGAAAAGACCAAGTGTGCGTGTCAGAAATGATTCATAACTAGACGTGCGTTCTGTTTACACTTTCTGAAAGTTTTTTGGCTGCAGTTTCTTTTGGATCTGCTACACAAAAACTTCGAGGTAAACGAATCCGGCAACGTGAGCAGTTCAAGTTACGGATATGTTTTGTACATGTACATAAAAGCCTATTCTTTTGGCGGGAATTAATTATTCTTTGAGTGAAGCAGAGTTTCGAGTTCACCGAGTTTGAGTTATCAAGATTTTACTGTATCTTATACAATTGCAACACCTGAATCAGACTTACCCGGCGTTCACTGGCTTCATCGGGACCCAGAAATGGGAAGTACCTCTCTCGCAAGAACACTATCCGGCGGAAGGTATAGAAGCATGTGTCATGGTACGACTTGTTGACGCTGTCAATGATCTTACAGAGCTTCTTCTTAAGCTCAGGGGTGAGGGGCTCCTCTGGGTTGAAGCCTTCCACTCTGTACTCGTGCAGGTCTTCTTCACTCATCTTGGACTCCAATTCTGAGCTCTCCTCTTCATCGATGGAGTTGCTCCGAGGCTCTTCCTTGATGACAATCTTCTTTTCCTTGGAGGATGAGGTTTGCCGCTCACTGGGCAGTGGTGACTGGAGAGGCGTGGTGAAGCTCTGAGGAGGGGAGAGGGCTGAAAAATCGGGTGTAGAGCACTCTGACTTGTGCGATCCCTTAGGGGTCTTGTTGGGGTCCGAGTGACCCTTCCCTGGGGACTGTCGCTTCATCGAATGCCTGGGGTGGAAAGAGTCTCTGCTGTCACCGGGTGAATGCTGGGAGACAGGCTTCGGCGAGTGCATCTCGGCTTTCAGATGCTGCTGGGCTAAGAATGCGGTTGGGCCGAGAGGTACCTGCTGAGGATGCTGTGAGGAGCTGACGGGGACCATGACCTGCCCACCAGAGGACAGAAGAGGCGAGGGAGGGAGGTGCTGCCGGCCTGACAGTGGGTTCCATCCTTGAGACATTGGAAGTAGAGACGAGTGCGACAGCAGTGAAGACTGTGGGGGCAGACCCTGTGGCATCTGCTGGGGCGGAAATGCACCAGGGAACTGGAAGAACTGGTTCCCTTGGCTTGAGTGCGGCAGGAACGAACAGTGGGTGTTGTCATCTGATCTGAGCAGGGGCTCCGAGGTCCGGCGGTGTCCCGCATAGAATGCTTTCATCTGTGAGGTGGCGATATCTGCCATGCTTGCATGCACCTCGTGACCGGGGCTGGCTGATTTCGAACGGTGCCTGGTATCTTCCCGGCTCTCTTTACTGGTATTGGGTACAACTACCACAGTTGGGCTAGGTGGGATCATGTCCTTGCTGTTTGACTCAGGGCTACTCATGTCCCTGGGAATAAGTATGACGGGTTGACCCGCAGCAAGCATTTTATTGATGGCTTCCATTGGCAAGTCTCCCTCTGTAGCTGTATTGGGCTCAACCTTCGACCCATCCCGTCCTATCATTGACATCTTCTGTGTAATCTCTTCGCTAACTGACTGCGGCATTCTTCTGTCGTCCTTTGCTGGCCGCATCCCTGTCTGCATGTACATTTGGTTCACACCAACCGAGTCCTCATGTGATTTAGAGAGCGAAACGCTGGAGATGGTGGGCGACTGTTCCAGACTTCTGCTTCCACTTCCGTTGATGGAGCCATCGCTGGCTCCAGGGATTGAGGACTGCCGACCGACGGATCCTGGTGGTGACATGTCTGGGGCAGATATAGAGGAAGTCTCTGACATGGAGTGCTCGCGGTCAGACCCACTATGGTCTAGCTCCTGCTTGATGATGTTGGAGATGGACTGTGCATGGTTGGCCATTGCCTGGCCCAGCTGAGATTCCATCATGGCCGCCATGTTCATGCCAGGGTACATGGCTGGTATACTAGTTGGTATCATGTGGCTTGGAGGGTGTGCAGCACTCATAGGGGGACCACCGTACTTGCTCTGATTGAACAGTTCAGGGTGGTTGCCATAGAAACCAGCTGGCTGATGGACTGTGTTATCGCCAAAACTTCGCTGTTTGGCAATCGTCTCATGCATTTTCTCAATCATTCGTTTGGACCTCCGACCTAATCTGGATCCTGTAATAAATGTTAAAATTAAGTCAAGTTAATGAGAAGAGTTAAAACTCTTTTTATACACAGAAAAAAATGTGATTTACAGTACAGGTCAGAATTTTGGCAGACACGCTAACACGATCAATGAACCTGACACGCTGTTACATACACGCTTTGTGGTTTACCGTGCACTGCTGCTCCTGCACCGGACCCTACCCCCCCACCTCATTATCTTGGCAGGGCTTATGACCACAGACCACAAAGGTGACCGACAACATGTAGTGAACCACTGCACATGCAGAGCTGTCACTGCAGCTTCATGTATGCATGTACATGTACACTGTACATACATAAATGTACATGTACACTGTATGGCAGTGCACTGAATAAGTAATATCACGTACATGTAGCGCGTGGCTGGCAAGATGACCGTCATAAAGTATCAAAATATGTATAATACAGCCGTTTCCTTTTAGTTTTGGATCATGGAAGTTGTTCAGTCGGAGTACATCTGGAAAATGTCAAATTTAAGTGAAACCTGGCCAGTAGTCCACTGTGTGTTTAGATACTACAAACCTTTTTTGGAAATGAAAGCTTTGAATTTTTTAAACTCACGGGATCAACTGGAGTGACGACGACGCTTTTCCGGCTGGTCCTAATGCCAGATTGGTTTTAAGCAGTTCCCATTTGCGCGAGAAACTTTTTCACAAATGAACAGTAACCACGAAACGAATCTATTCCTCAGCCAGACCAATTATAAGAAGCTGATTTTACAATGAAGTATTTCTTAATTTAGGGATATTTAGTTCATGTATCAGAATTTCAGTATAAAATTAAAAAGACACCTACTGAACTTGCGTAAATTTTAACTTCATCATTTGCTGCCCACACCAATAACAGACGTTGTGCCAAGCAATCACGAAACTACAACCACCCTAACACTTTCATCCTACCCACCAAATCATACATCCAAACAACTGTATTGCATATTCGTTTAAATACAGCGCCAACAAATGCATAATTATGAAGTTCACATGGGTGCTACTTTGTCCGTTGCAGCCAGTGCATGCACGTGCGGACCCGACGTCCTTTCATTTCAGTACGCTCTTTGCTGTTTAGTTTGGTTGTAATTTTGTCAAAATCAGAGCGATTTCTTTTGGTAGATTTTCCAGCTGCAGAGTTGAAAACGGATGGGAAAAATCAATACTTCACATCAAATTTATATTCACGTGATTTTGAACACACTCAGCTAGAGTACGGGAACAACTTTCTATACATATGCTAGGATCGCCGCCTTGGGGGCCGTCTCGACTAAAATTTGGCTAGCAGACCTGCGAGTTCAAACCCTGTTTATATTTTGAGGATTTCTTACAAATAGATTTCTCTAATTTAGGAAATGCTTTGTCATAAAAATTGCTTTGTCTCGGTTGAAAAATTGATTTCATGCTCGAATATTTTCTGTGCCTGATTCAGAACTTTTTGGAGCAATTCAGACATTAACCAAAAGTGTTGCCGGCATGGCACTTTCATCAATCCTGTAAGGACAAACAAAACGCTTTATCTTTGAAAATAATTCTGTGATGCCTGCTACATACATGTACAAGGTAAACTCCTGACAACATTTCCCTGGAATTTGAAGATAACTTGAGCTGCAGTCAAACTGAATACTTTTCATTGTGGGAAACTAGAAAAATGACTGCTCCGGTCAACAAGGGCCTGGCTGTTTTGGGGTTTGCGTGTAGCATGTGCCTGTTTATACTCGGCTGATCAGACTGCGGTGTAGGTGTTCTCTGTTAGGCAGGGGTGAGTGTGTTTTGTGTTTGCGTTTAATTCCTTTTGTGTCTGTTTGACTCGATGCATGCTGACATGCTAAGCATGTTTGCATGTCAGCTTAAAATTCTGACCTGTAGGGTATCTTCAGACATATGCCAAAAAAGGCAAAAAAATACGGGCAACTGTGTTTGTCTCACAAGAAGAGAGTAGTTTTGTAGTCAAGACCCCTGAGACCATTTCAGGGGCCCCATGACATCTCGGACAGTTCTTTAAAGAGAGTCAGATTCTTTCAAAGGCCTGTTGTTACTCTGACTCTGTGACGTGTGACTCATCTTCACAGAGCAGGTCATCAATGTGCAGAGATATTTTAGACACTCATCTGCAACGAGCATCTATCACAAAGACTAGAATGGGGGTGGGGAGAGACGAAATTGGAGGGAGGGCTCACCTTCTTTGGACATGCCGACTGCAAGGCACTTCTTCCATCGGCACAGCTGACACTGGTTCCTAGTGTAGAGAGAGATGTCACACTGTCCGTTATTGGAACATGTGTAGGACTCATGCTGTGTGAGACTCCTTCTGAAGAAACCCTGCCAAGGCAAAGACACAAACCAAACAAAGGAAGAACAAATGTTTATATGTTCAGAATTTAGAGAAAACCAGGAGGTGTTTCACTGATTTCAATATACTGACTGGATACCACATCAAGATTGATAGCTGGAAGCCTCCAGGTACTTTGTTTGGTGACCAAAAACCAAAATGCAAACATATGTGTGTGTGTGAGATTGACAGTGAGACTTCCTATCTTTCACAATGGGATATCATATCATAATTGTAATGAGCCATTTTGTTTGGACCGATTGTTTTTTAGATATGCGCCATGGATATTTAAATAGAAATCTCCTCTGTTGTTAACCACGCAATGATTTTATTTAATTATTAATCCGTCCTACTAGAAAAACCCAAAAAGTACCAACACATATAGCTTGCTTTGCTGCATCAAACAGAAAGCAACCATCTTTTTGGGTGAGGCCACCCAAAAACTTGAGTAAGGAAGACCTCATGTATTTGTGCAAGGCAGTTGGTGAATGGGTTATCCAGTTAGTATCAGTGAGGTGTTTGTTACTCAAAAGCTCTCACTGTACACTCTATGTTGAAGTATCACTTTGCCTGCAACGAAGAGAGGCTGATGAGGACCGGTTAAATTGGGTCCCATGCATATCTGTGAAGACTGAACATTCCTACAGAAATCAGTAAGGAGTGCTCCAAATGGCTCCTGCCAGGTGAGCATCATGCATAGTGCCCCCACCAAGGAGACATCATTGCTACGTGATAAAAGTGCCATCTCTGGTTCATACACAGAGTGCTTATGGACAGCTACAGTTGTCCAAATTTCCAGAAACTTGTGCAAGCCCAAATGATGACAAATGATAATCACATACCAAAAGAAATATCAAAAGAACAAAGAAATGGTTAATAAATTTCCCTTTCCAAGAAGATTCCGCTACATCCTTTCGTTAGAATTACATCAGCAATAGACTACAAAATTTGTACTCAAAGTTTAATGTGATACAGCAATGTACCAGAAATAACATAACTTGTATTTTTTCTTACTTTTATAAAAAAAATTGGCCACCACACTGCAAGACATGAGCCACTATATAGAGCAGATGCCACTGCCGCATGTAATTGCTAATTATTGACAGACATGATCAAAAATTAATTAAAGCAGCGCTAGTAACCGGCCAGTTGTCATGATTCTCCCCCGAGCTATCCATATCATCCCTTCCCGTCTAGCCTCTGCAAAGTCACCTCTCATTTTAATGAGAGGAAGAGAAAGAAAAAAAAAACAAGAAAAGAAAAAAAAGAGGAAAATAAAAAAGGCTGCTCAGGCAAATTCACATTAGAAGTTCAAGGTCTGCTTCACACCAGTTAAAGAAAGCTAGACAAGCTAAAAACTGCTGTCAGGAGACTGTCCTCCAGATGTCTCCTCTAGTCAGTCACGCCGACCGGTGATCTGCACATGGTGGGGGACTCAGCACACACAAACCAAAGATATCTGTCACGCAGCTGTCCGTGCGCATCCCATCACTAATCAACATGGCTTTAACTAATGACAGGACATATTACCGTCTGGCAAGGCATCTTTATAAACCTAGATCCCTTAAAATAAAAAAGAATGTGGTTTCTCTTACATTACATAAAAATACATTTCCTCAACTACTCCCCCTTACAAAAAGGCAAATTACTTGATTCAGCAAGAGTACTTCTTAGTTCAGTCACGATTAAAGGACACAACTGTCATTTGATGCAATAATTCATGAGTCACAGGTTACAATATTTCAAGATCACAAATATTGATTTTTTCCCCTGCAAATTTAAAAAAAAATAAATAAAAATACACGACTTGTGAAATGGAGTTGGCCTGGGTCCACTGGCATTGATTGTTTAGGAATACACGTGTCTCGCAAAGCAATGTCTGATCGTGTCTGATGTTGTGACAGGGAAAACACACGATTCAGAGGGAAGGGTTACTTGGGGGCGAACGAAATGTCATGTCTTGCAGGTAAATTAATTAATGCATTCATCGTTCATGTGAATTCCACAAATGCCTAAATCTAAAGATTTATTACTTTTAAGGGATATACATTTAAGATAGTGTGCACTGGAAAAAAACATTAGGCCTGAACAGGGCAATTAAAAATGTGAACAAATAAATACGTCCCCTCCGTGTAATTCTCCACCACAAAATTCAATGCACAGATAAACTGCTCGTTCAATTCCTGCAACCTTCCAGAAAATTTGACAGACACTGCTTTAAATGGATGCATTTGAGTCACACAGATGAAACAAATTACATTGACAGTGCATTGGTATATGTTAGTCTATGTATGAGGTGATGTGGGCCACATCCAAAGGAGAGCCACTGTGAATTACATTCCCAAACTGCATGTACAGCTGCAAATATTGCATCCTCTTATGCATGCACTGCTACACATTTCAATGTTTTATTGTTTTATTTTTAGGTTTAGATAGAGGGCACAGAAAACAACATGTCAACTGCTTGAACAGAAACTCACTATTCTGAAGCTGCAACATTTTGCAGCTCAAGGTTATTACCTTCATATTGGTGGTATTCCTCCATGGTATCAACTACATTTAATACACATGTACCACCAACAAACCCTTTAAGAAAATAAAAACCCAACAGCACTCAACAAAATCCCCCCACCAAAAGAGAAACAAACAAACCAACCAAGAAAAAGGTTGATTTCATTTTAATGCACAGGTACGGTAATAGTACAGTAGGCCTACAAGTGTAAGGCCAATTGATTTTTATGACAAACCAAATACATCTACCGCTATTTGAGAAGGACTATTCAATTTATTTCATAATTATTTATCCAGGGCATCCTGGATCAGTTCTTCAGCATTGTTCTCCCCCCTCAGATTAAGAAGAAATGTGGATGGAAAATATCAGTTTTGGAAAGAATTGTGGAGAATGAATCTTGGGTAAAACCCACGCAACTCATGTAGCGGTCATGGTAAGAGTTGACTCGGCAATAACCCACCACTGTAGCGGTCTGCCCAGCCGGACAGGTCATTCCAGCCAACAGCCTCCAGACTGACCTTGTCATTGACCTCCACTGACCTTGCCACTGTCTCTGCCATCATCCACTTATCATGGTGGAACCATTTTCTTTTTGGATGTAAATGGCCATCTATTCCGCTGCCTATTAGCCCCACAGGGAGGGAGAAGAAGTTCTTGAATTTTTACCGATCTGTCGCTGGCTTATTCCGGTCACTGCATCTCTCCGCCTCGCTATTATCGAGAGGTGTTTAATTATCACGTCAGCCCCACTACCTGTTCTCTCCCTAGTGGACTCAAGGCCAGAAACAGCACACTTGAGTTGTGAGTGTTGCCTAAGCTGCTCAGTGAGCAGGTTTGGTCTCAGCTGACAGGGTCTTTTTCCCTTGCCTTACGTCCAGTGCTCCTTGGTCTCAGGGGTGGGGTGGGGGGGGAAGCAGGTCTGGTGGGGAAGCAATTATTAACGGAGAAGCCTTTTCTCATGTTATAATTGGATTCCTCAGTGGACCAATGAAGGAACCAGAACAATCATCTTGATCGTGATCAAGCCAACAAGAAGGATGCCATTACTGGACCAAGAAAGATGCCATTACTGGACCTAGCCAGACATTAGTTGCGGGAACAGTGTCGGGGAGCCATCTGGCAAATCCAACCCTGCCGACATGATGTACGGTTCACGACCTGTTTATACTTGGCTCTCAGGACGGTGCCAAATTATCTGTGTGTGTGGATTTGCAACTAAGGAATGGAGCCAGTGGCAGCTCATTTGCGACAAAAATTTAAGAAAATGCAAATTCGGTTCAGTGGAGATGGACAAACGCGGCAGAGTGGATGTGCAGAATCACTTATGCTTAGTTGGCTTTGACAACAGCCAATTTTCTTTGTTTCTTTTCCTCTTTTTACCCTGTTTAGGGAGTTGTGGTTTTTCTATTTCTGTGCTCAAGAAACTGTGAACTAAGCAGACAGCTGTAAATCTGGCGTGTTCTGAGAGGAAGTAGTCGTTATTCTTCTTCGTTGATCTCTACAATTTCTCAAGGATTCTGTCCAAACACAAATCAATGGGATCCCTGCTATCACAGAAGCTTTTTGTTTTGTTGTAGGTTTTTTCCCCGTTCTGGAGAGATGGTGAGATTCATGGTGATGCAGAAGACATGTCAATCACCACTAATTGGCCGTTTGGGACATTCTGCCTAAACCCAGTACTGAAGGGATTTTCACGCTCTACAGGTTTTTGGACAACCCTGGCCAATGAGTCAAGCCCCTTGGACTTGTGAGAATCTGTTAAATTCTCCAGAAATCAAAAGACTAAACGTTAATTCCTGCCAATCACAGAGACAAGACACAAGACTTCTTTTTTCCTTCATTGTTTTTTATACCTTTATGAACTCTGCATATGATCCCCTCTCCTCTCCAATCCTCCTATTTAGAGTAAAAAGATTCCAGTAAGAATCCATGCACAGGAAATGTTTTACGCTTTTCAGCTTTTAGAAAGCGCCCGGTGAAGAAAGTCAAGACTTTTTCACTTAGGAATCTATTAAGTACTTCCCTGCTGGAGAGATACCACACATGGGATTTATGCATGGCTTGACAGGCAGAGGACAGCATGACGCCACAGCGCTGATGTGTATAGGGAGGGGGGTGATGACATGGCACTGGCCATTCATTGCCATCATCATGCTAACAGGATGCACTTGCTCCATACCATCAATCCAACATCTCAAGCATTTATTCCTTTCTTTTTAGCATACCTATTACGATCACAATGAACATGTGACAGAGGCCGTCAGCTGAAAAAAATTGACTTTCTGCAGCCTTCAATCTGCACAGTAATCATTGTTTCCTCCTCTCCGGATAACAAATTTTTGGTTTTAAATTCTCTTTTATCTTTTATTGTCACAGTCACTATTGTCACCACATTATTTCAACAGAATCAGTCCAGTTTACATTGGTATGTATGATTGTTGATGCTAATATTGTTAATGATATGCATCATCCAGTAAATGAGTTCTTCCATGTGATGCTTTCAGGAAGGAGGATGAGATGAATGGGTGCAAAAACCAACCGTTTCAAAAACAGTGTTATGCCATCAGCCCTGCGGGTTTTTAATTATGGGAATTTTTAATCATAAAATAATTATGAATAATTGGTTTTAGAAACAGATTATTCACCATTATTTGTCTGGGTTTTTATTAATGGGATTTTATGAAATGAGTGTGTATAGCAACTGGTAAGTTTGTTTTAATCTCTGTGGTAATTAGTTTAACTAGTTTCATTGTATGGTATTGTAAGTTATTTGTATGTTTATGCGAGTCCAACATTACAAATTCCTTTGATTGTTTTTCTTTTAAATATTGGTTGAATAAATTAATCTTGAATCTTGAATGAATTTATTTTGTCAAGTGTTGTTGGCAAGTGAATGGAGAATTAGGGGCCTACGCGCTAGAGACAGACTTCCATTCTTTTTTAGACAGACTCATTTTTTAATGAGTATTTTACTGTTCAACCACTACAATTTCTTTTTCTTGCATTTCTCACTCAAAATTCACAAGCTTCATCTGCCGAAGAATTTATCTTCTCTGTCTAATGATTCAGAAAGGCACACAAGTTCAATGGCATTTGTTCAGATGTACATATGCAGACCACAAAGGATGGAGTAATTTATAAGAGAAAGGCAGCGTCTGCATACAACCACTGTACATTACAAGCGTCTGAATATGTACATTCCAGTGGCAGAAACATATCAAGTACTGCTACACTTCATGTCTTCACTATTCAAACATGTATCTTCAGCCATCCCATTCAGAATAAAACTCACATTCAGTACCTTTAAATGCTGAAAAACGGGGAAAAAACAAATTGTTATCAGAAATATTCCAAAATGTCAGTTCCAGAAAAGAAATTCTACTACAAAACTTAAAATAAATTTCACTACGCGCCATGGTAACAAGCTTTTTAATGCTGAGATATATGAAAAAAAGTGTTCAAAGACTTGAACCGACAAAATTATCAGATTTCAGTTTTTCATTTGGCTTTTTTCCAAGCTATAAAAGAACCCCCCCCCTCATATCTGTGGAATTCAAACATTATGAAAGTTTTCATACAGGAGCTCCAGACTATTGGCTGAAATGACTACCGCAATACCACAAATCCTCTGTCTTAAAAAAAGCAAAAGAAGTATATGAGAATGAATTAGCCAAGCTACCGGCAAAAAAAAGTGTAAAAAAAAAAAAGCTCAATCGTTGATTTATAGTGATGTTTAATTCCGCTAATGGCACAAGTCAGCACGTACTTTTGGCAGAACCGCTACATTCTTCCAGGCACGACTACTGTTTCTGTTTATTTGTCACATTTAATAGGATTAGACCCTGTGTGCAGGAACCAACAATGACAGGCCATAAGTATGACATGGCTCGACTTTGAATTTCTATTGAGGCAAATGCACTTTGTACTATTCAAGCCTCAATCAACTCGGAAGGCAAACACTGTGGAGGAGGGGATAAAAAAGACAGCCAAAATTAAAGTCATTTTGTATCAGCACGAATGTCGGGCGGAAGATTCATTGTATACTGTGGCAGTATTAATTTAATTTTCATAAATTCACCCCCCCCCTCTTTTTTTTCCGCGACAGAATTGGCAGCATCAAGAGGAAATGCTGATAGTTGCAAAGCACAAACAACAAATAATTACAGTGCCACAATCGTTCCCCCATTGTGAATCCATCTTGTCCAGGGTTCAAACCCCCCCCTTTCACCACAGAGGAAATTCAGCAGTCAGCCTGCCATCCATCATATCCTGACCAAAAAAAATCCCTATGTCTCAGAGGACAAAACAAGTCCGATGACTTTGACATCCAACATCATCAACCTGGGGAGAATCTTACTTGTAAGGTTCTCCTGGCAACTGCACACTGACAACCCTCCCCCCTCCACCACTCTCTCCGCAGGTGTCCTTGACCCCTACTTTCTGATGGATAAGACCAAGTTTTTTTCTGAAATGGCAGTGATGCAATTACTGGATTGGGTGGGAGTCCCACTGCAGGACCTAGGGAGAGGAAACAGCCAGCGTCCTGGGTGGCTCGTCTTTTATAAAGTACAGGTGGTGAGGTTAATTTGCTGTGACCTGGCAAGAAAGAGCGGTGCCCTGTAAGTGACACGCCGGGCGTTAACCCAGACAAGGTAAACTACTGTAGACTATAGTAACCAATCACTGGTGTCACAGGATGGGGCCGACCAGTCTCGCTAGGCGAGGAGGCGCCCTCTGTTGAAAGCTTGGATTTCTTTTCTCAATGAATTTCACATGATTGTGCCATTACAATGCAACCTGGGTCAGACTTTATCGTTTTTTTCACACCCATAGAATTGCAATTAACCTGATAGATGTGGGAAACTACATAGCTTTCTCCTTCATTTCGGTCCAGTATTTGACAAGGGACACCCGCCCCCCCAAAAAACAGAACACTCTCAAATCAGACTTGCTACTCCTATGCAATATGAAAAGGACATTTCAAATGTCTTTCTGTTGGTAAAAAATCTTTCTTGATGTACTTCTTCATTTTGCCGACAATCTTTTGAATTTTTAAGATTTAAGTTGTGAAATAAACAGGAAAACTTTTGGCGAGTGGAAAAAAAGCACGAATAGTCCTGTAGCCACCCAAATTTCAAATGTCTCAATTACTGAAGTCACTCCAAGTTTTTTTTTTTGCTAAGTAACAATTGTGGCATTTAGAGAAATTCAGTGTGGGAAAAAGTAGGATTTTCATACGGTGGTATAAAACAGTAGGCCTACGAATTGATACTAAAAAACTTCAGAGAGAAACAAGGTGGAGTGAAACGTAACATCCCCTACAGCAGCAATTGATCGTGCATTTTGAAAGTTCTGTGTCATCTTAAAAACCAACCTCCAATTATCTAAACAATTATCTTAAGCCAGCATGTTCCTGTTTTCGGATGCCTATTTTGTTTCATTATATTCACCCATCCCATGTTCTTGGCAAGCTGATGAGCCTCATTTGTCTTAAGTCAAACTTTTTTAGTTTCAAATAGGGGTGCAACCACTTTTTTCAAGACATAATACACACTTCTGTACAGAGGTCATGCGACAATTTGCACTATGAACTTGATATAGGGGATGGTAGCGGAAGCCTTTCTGCATACACAGGGCTTGCAGCTCTTCTGGGTCTTATCTCCTAAAGCTCCATAACTGTTTTCAATTTTCACTCATCGGAATATACAGAAGTGGGTATTGATGTTTTTATTCATAACTGCCACATCTGCTGTATGATGGTAATTTCAAATTCTACTGCATGAAAGTTTGCCTTTTGTCTGAGTTGATACAAAGAAAAATAAAGCATCAAAAAGATTTCCAAGGTTTTATGATGTCATACTGTGACTTTCTCAGGTCATGATTACTAATACATAAAGGAACCTTTTTAGGAGGAAACTAATTAGATTGTCGATGGCTGGAATAAAAGCTAACTTATATGGGGGGGTTCCTGGATTCGAATCAGCATCAAAGACAGATAAGAAACTCAATACTAACCGTGATCAATCTGTGAACTTGAATCAATTTCAAAAAATCAAAACTGCACATTGCAAAAACTACAGTTACAAGGAAAAAATAGACAAACTGAAGCTTCAAGTGAATTCCAAAGAGAGAACTTTTACCTTGCAGCCTTCACAGGAATGGATGCCATAGTGGAACCCTGTGGAGGTGTCACCACACACCATACACTTGATGAGTTCATTCAGTTCATCTGAAGCAGACGAGAAAAAGAGACAGAGTGATGTTTACTCATTTGCTGCAACATAGCACTGGCCCTACCGTCATGTTCTGACGTCCTTTCCTCCATCTCATGAAGGGTCTCATCACTATCGTCATGCAGTCATAGAGATGAACAGTTCCAAGCCAAAAAAAAGGTGATTAATGTTTCTGTGCTCGTTTTATAACTAACAACCTTCCCACTGGGCCCCATCCCCCCCATGCAATGCCCGTGCAGTGTGCATATGCACGCACACAGGAGACGCTGGATGAGGTTTCCTTTGGACAAACAAGCTGTCGTCTCAAAATATCATGGTGTTGGATTTCAGATTGGACAGCTACAGTTGTGCTTCCTGCTACGGCGAGTTTACAAAACGATGCATTCCTGATAGCAGTGGGATGTAATGAATTTTTTGGGGGGGGCAGGGAGTTAGAAAAAGGAATTTTTAACATGTACACTAGTTAAAATGGAACAAAGTTGGATTTGAACACGTACATAGGTTACACGTAACCACAATTAAAACTTCACAGGCCAACACTCTATATTTCAAAGAGTTTGTTTCACGTCAGGCAAAGTGTAAAATTACCACTTAACATTTTGAAATGAGCTCATAATCCTTGTGCTGTTTTGCTTCAGAGAGGAAATGATTTCAGTTCATGGGGGGGGGATTTACATATTTTTTTTCAGTAAAGTGTCCTCATCCTTTCACTGTGGCGTAATTTTCTGAGGTCGGGACACGGCGCTTATGCCGTGAGGGCCGTCGTAAAGCCTGCGTCTGAAACAACACGTCGGGTATTTGCAGACGACATCTTCAGATATGTTCACCTGCTAGTTCAGAAAAAAGGGGGTGGGCAAGATTAAAATAGAAAGGTAAACAAATTATGAATCCCCATTCTGCTGACAAGCCAGGCTTTGATCTGTTGAGGCCAATGACCGGATAATGAGTTAAATATGCCGTGCACCCAATACCGGCCGTAAATTACGTTACCCTGTCCCACGATGGTCTCCTCTGACAATATGACAAGCTAATAATTAGACAGTCAATGTTAATGTGATTAGCCTTGGCAATTAGTCGATATGTAAACTGACAAGGCTGGGGGCAACTGAAGGGGGTAATGATCCCTGTTTAAAACTTTTGCAAAAGAAAGTAAAAAGATTCCCAGGAGGGAAAACAGAAACAACAGCAATTGTCTACTACTGTTTCATGTGGATTGAATTTCGATATATCGTGCCTTGGGCACTGCTGGACAGTACTTAATGGGCAGAGCAAAGTTGAAGTTGAACTCCTTTCCCACAGAGCACTACAAATTAATGTTTAAAACCTCAGAGGCTTAATTACAAGTCCGTGGGCAGGCAGCAAACTGCTCCTTTGTGCTTCCTAGTCAACGGAGGTCTTACAGAACATGACCGTGATAACCTAGGGGCCAATGCACTGCCACTTTGGCACTCACGAAGGAAAAAAAAAGTGCAAGAAACCATGACAACGTAGATGCAGCTTCTGATAGCTTAACCCGCTCTGTTCATTATCTGTCAGAGAGGCGCTGTGAAACCCCTGCTTGGCTTAACACCCTCCATCTATTCCTCACCAACTTCCCCATGGGAACGGGTGAGAGACAGTTCCATTTTTATCTCAATGGCCAAAAGAGTGCATTTGGAATTTGCTATTGTAATACTCTTTCTCTGTCGCATACGTCTCTCCTCCCCCCCCCAACTGTAATTTCTCCCAGAAGAATGGAGATCCTGTGCTTCGACAAATTTTGTCCTTCCATCAGATTTCTGGCTCACATACTCCCTAAACCGCTTAAGCATATATTCAAAACAGAGGGCTAAGTGGTTAACGAGATTTGACAAATTGTAGACCGGAGACAGAGACTATTGAGGAGGGGGGGGGGAAGCCTATCTATGGCCAGATAACACGTCAGTGCGCTGGCAGTCCGTCTTTTGTTATTCAATCACAGGAGAGTTTTCTTGTAACTGTCAACCCCAAATCTTGTTATGTGCTAAGAGAGTGTACTGGTTTAAGGACCTTGGAAAAGAACTCCGAATTGCATTATGCTGGATACTTATTTTCCCCCTCTGATTTTTACAGAAATTAGATGATACAATGAAAGGGAAGGTCTGTTGATTTTCTTGCAAGGTCATAAGGGAAATCACAGATTTACAGGTACTTATATACATGTAATGGACTGAGGTAAAGCTAGTAGTATCCCGCACAAATGAAATATGCTTTCACTCTGCAATTCAAGTACAATTGCATGAGCATAACAAAGGGGAGGGGGGCCGAATTTTCCCAGCACAACAATGGTGTGTAGGAAACCAAAACTTGTTGGTTCATGAGCAGAGTTTGAGCATGACAATAAACATAACAGCCATCTCTCTGAACAAAAAGCATTGATAAGCGACGTCAACCAACTTGATGACAGATACACAGACTCCATCACCATGAATTGTAGACTGCAGACCAAAGAAAATACAAACTTATTATAGGGGAGAATGACATTCAAGAACATTTCTGGGAATGCTCAGAGGAAGGGGCAAGTTCAATTACAAGGTTTACACACAAAAAAGCTTAGCATCAGCACAACAGGGACGTAGTTCAGACCCACGGGAGCAAACACCCAATCAACACCACGTCACTCTATTCACAAATGCGTAAGCAGAGTCCAAGGTGGTTACTCAAAATTATTATTGGCGAGAGAGAGAGACCCTCTAAGTGAATTAGTTGCTACACGATTGAGGCACTGTACAGGCCTGATAATTTCTACACAGCTAGGCAATTACTGGTACTGTTTACTTACATGTACACGCACACTTAATTGGTGTTACCATCTCCTGTTATTACCACATCAGCTCCCTGGCCGTCCTGATCTCCCAAGCCACACAGCGTGTATCGATTACATTTTCTGTTGTCGATTCCAAAGTTTTAAAACAATTTTTTTTCTTCCCCCTCCCTCGAAATCACGTCAGAAGGGGAAGGGTTCACCCCTCAAGCAAGCAGGAAGAAAACGGCCTGGACAAAAACCCCGAGTTTTAGCATAAGCTACACTTGTCCTAGACGTTAGTCTACAGTACTCTAATCACAGGGAATCACTACTGTACTATTTTGCAAATGGAGCCCGGTAATGGAATAGTGCACAAGCGTCATGAGGCATCAAACTCATGAGGGGAATGGCACTGGAGCGGCTGTCCTGGGAGACTATCAGTGTCAATGACACTTCAAGGCCAAGGCCATGGGCCAGATCACTTTTCAGAAGAGGGGTGGGAAAAAGTTAAGGAGGGATAAAAGGATCAGGCTCTGAAAAACACATCAACAGATACAGACACCGTCCTGCAGTTCAAGGAAGGTCTTTGCTTTCATTTTGCCTTATGTGTGCTATCCCACTACAAGAATGATGACCAACTCTCAAACAACAATCCAAAAGATGATTTCAAAAGAAGTATTCAGAGTTTCATACCCCTTGTGAACTGAACTGTTCCACATGCCAAATGGCATCAACTCAAAGCCCATTCATTTTCTTCCCAGCAGATTTTAACTTAATTCCATTCCTGTCAGCTTACGGGGTCTTGGCACAGAGTCTGGGCCAAGTTCAGCTCTATGACAACGCTGCATGCATAGAAAAACGGACCGGGGGCCTGGGCCCCGGCTGTCTGTGTTTGTGCTGTAATGTCAGCAATTCAGCTAGCTTCCTGCCGATCTTGAATAACTGGAATTGATAAGCAATGAAAGGGGGGGGGCTTGTACATACTGAGCCGGTCAGTGGCTTCTCTCAGGCTTGCTCTGGCCTACCCTTGCCTCATAATGTGGTCATGTTTTCAATGGGACTTCACTGTCTGGAAGGGCCCTAGGGCACGTGCAATGAAGACAAGAGTGTAGAGGAAGATGAAGGCATAGATGGGAAAAAAGACTGCACTGCTGGGATCAGTTAACACTGGGTTTCTGGGAATGCAGATTTTGTGATGTAATGTGAGGGCAGCATTTGCCAACTCTTAGGCAGATAAGTTAAACATTTTGAAAACTACAATTTTCCACTTTGTCCAGCAATATTAAAATACATGCAGAACATGGAAATAGGCATTTGATTAAACATGTATTACAACGGAACAAAGAGCATTTAAAAAATACTTCCTGACAATCATCTGGAATGATGCAAAACAAATTGGGGGGGATTTAATGTGGTCTCTTTTCTAGAAAAGTGATACATGTATACGCTATACATAGCTACAATGACCAAACACTGCTTCCAAAAAAGCCTGTCAGTTTGAATAAATGTATAGTGATACAGGGTTGGTAAGCCCTGCTCCATATTGGCATCAAATTGGCCATCATATTCAGATCAAACAAATCTTCATATGTTGAGGGTCATGCATGTATGTTAACACAGATGAAAAGAAAGGCCACAATTGTGCATAACAGTCTTTTTTGTCAAGCAGATCATAATCTGTCCATACCATACTTATCCTTTTATTGTCTCTGACAATGTAGACAGCAGTCTATCAATTTTCTAGCAGCGAACATTTATTTTACCAAGACAAAATTTGATGTCTTTCTCTCCTACCTGTCTATGGTAATTCTATTTTAAGAGCCAGGTTTCCAAACTGAGAAAACCTACCAACTGTGCTAATAAAAGACACAAAATTTGTCACAGATCCCTATGTCTCTTCTCCTGTTGAAGCTGAAGAAACAGGAAGGATGGCCAATCTAAATTTCAAGAATAAGCCATACTAGGATGGTTGGACTGGGAGACTGGAGGGAGAGGAGGGAAGCACATGTATTATCACACTCTTGCTAGCAGGATGAAGTGAAATCGGTGTGAAAATGCTGCAGGGAAGGAAAAATTAATAGGAATCCTTAACGAGATAAGTGCTTAATATCGGGTCCATGTGAGAAACTCGCATATCAATTTTGAGATCACTATTATCAGTATCTCGGAAAAACTAATCTTCGTTGAGGGGTTTTCCAGTTTGTACAAATTCCTTTTTTTATTGCCCAAATA